GATTGATGACTAAGATAGTACATTCCAATTTTACTGTTAAGCTAAAGATAAAATAGGCTAATATATAGATAACTAGTATAGACTATAGGAAATATGCTTGATCATGTCGCTTTCGAGAATTATACTGCTATGATAACACTCTATCGATCGGGTAACTTGACAAGTTTGCTTAAAATAAACTTAAAAATAGGATGGATGGCTATGGTAGCACATTCTAATTCTTACTCTTAAGCTAAAGATAAAATAAGTTAATATATAGATAACTAGTATGGATAATAAGACAAATGGTTAATCATGTCGCTATCGAGAAAATTAGACCGCGATGATGACACTCTATCGATCGGGAAAATTGCTAAGCTTGCTTAATATAAATATGAAATTAGGATGGATGGTTAAGGTAGTACATTCTATTTAAATACGCTTGATAAACATAGAAAATTGATTACCATCCTTGATGTAATGCAGCAGTGCAGTGTTTCATTAAAGATTACGAGAAACAGACAATTTTGGTTGCGAAAGGATTAATTTTAAGATCGAGATGATCTCAATTTCGGCTTAGAACGACGAAAAGCTATGATTTAAAACAGCTTTAAGCAGAGAGGAGAGTTAGAGAAAGTACTTAAAGCTGCCTAATCGATAATTTTAATTTTGATTCTTACGTTGAACTAAAGATACTCCAAATTAACATCTCGATAATGTCAGCCAAGATTGAAGGCGTAAAGTTATTTTAGCAGCGATGAAGTAACGTAGTATTAACTTAAGATTTAAGATAAACAACAATTTTCAGTCTAGAAATGATGATAGATTAATAAAGCTATAATTGAAAAATCCATAGGGCAAGGAAAGAAGGCATAGACATACTTAAATTTTTCGATTGAAATTGACAGAAGTCGATAAATACACAGCCTCAATTTATATTCTCACTTTAAGCTAAAGATAATTGGGGTTAACATCTAGATATTATTGCGAATGATTGTTCATATTACTATCGAGAAAAATTTATAAGTTTAGTTTTGAAATTGACGGAAATGTTTGAGATAAACGAAGATTGACGAAAATGACAATAAATTAATATTGATAAGATTCATAGTAATTTTAACTACGATGAAGTAATGACGTATTTATTTTAAGAATAACATGGAGAAGAATTTTTGTACATACAATATTTATGATTATGACCGATTAATGAATGCTAAGTAGTGAAGCAGCTATTAGTAGAGAGAGAAAATATAGGAATTATTATTGCTTAAAGTTTATTGAAGTTGACGGAAATACTCGAGAAAAACAGAGGTGAGAATTCAAACTGCATTAATTACAATGATATAGCTGTAGAGATTAGTTACGGTACGCCATTACTCTAACTCTTCAAAATCAATTCCTACTACCAGATATATTTGACTTGTTATTAGCACTACTATTTTTATTATCGCATTGTCATTGTTAAAATTTGCTGGTAATTAATATAAATAACATTGGGATAGTTCTGGCTACGATAATGTAGCTTCTAATTTGAGGCTAACGATTAGTATATTAAATTAAAAAGGATAGAAGTCAAAGCACTTCTAATTATGGCGGTGTAGCTATAGAAAACACTCAAATCTTGGATGACTTGTGTTAATCTTAAATTGAAATAGATTTAAAGTATATCACATAATTAGAGATGGGAAATTAGTCTTTCCATTCATATTTAAGTATACGCATATTATTATAAAAAGTATTCGAACCACTATTATTACTGCTGTATCACTTCTGTAGCTTGAAATATTTCTTGCTTTTACAATTAATGTTAATATAGGATGGATGGAAATTATAGTAAATGAATATGATCAAGATTCAACGCAGTTTTCCTCTATAGCTATATTAACTAGCATTAATATTTGTATAGGAACAACAGTAACCATAAAAGATAACTAAGGATAGATTTGAAGCCTTGATATAATGCAGTTATAGAAAATTCTTAGACTAAATATCACTGAGATTTTTTTGCTTGTTGATCATATCGCTGCCAAAAGTAGAATATACTCTTATTATGGCTATAAAATCATATCTTTTACAGCTAAGTTCTTGCTTAAATGTAATTTTAAAATCAACATAGGGATAATGGTCGATAAGTGAATCGATTATCTAACGCAGGTGACATTCTGAGCTTTAACTATGCTTGTGTCACTGCTAAAAGTCATTCTATAAAAGTTATCAATTTTTAGGGGATATAATTTGCAGCTGGATCATATCATGTATCTTGCATTCTGTACTACTGAATAAAAGGTAAGAAAATGCTCTATCTTACAGGCTATTTACAGTTTCCTTTTAGTGGAAATATCGCAAATAGAATCAAGTTAGATTTCAAAGAGATGAAGACATGTAGGTACGGCACTATTATTTTGTGATTATTATATTATTGTACTGAAGAGTGATGTATCTGTAATTATTAATTTGCAAAAAAATCATGATAGCTAAAAAGTAGATGTTGAAGAGTTATAAATAATATTGCATATTTCATTTCTATAGCTTATCGTCAAAGATAATTTAGAAAACGTACCGCGCTTAAAATTTGATTTAAGTAACAAGAATAAACATACATAAAGAGTTAAATTCGAAATAGAAATACTGTACTATGATGACCAATTAGTGGGACTAGAAGAAACGTGTATGAAAACAAATTTCATACATGATTAATAGATTATCCTGGAAAGAGAATAACTACCCTATAGGAATTATAATTAACGAGGTCGTCTTTAAAATTTGTATTAAGCTGCAATAATAGATATACTTCAAGAGTTAAATTCGAAATAGAATACTATGATGATCAATTACTAGTACTAGAAGAAACGTATGTTAAGACGTAAATTTTATGCATTATTAATAGATTATGCCGGAAAGTGAATGGCTACCTTATAGGAATCATAATTAATGAGTCATTATTATAATGTTGTCATTATTATTGTTATTGCAACTTATTTTATATAATTTTCTTCGTGCGATAAAGTAAATACATCACAAATCATAATATCATTATTGCAGTATTATTATTGTAGCGGCTTATTACTGCATGTAAAGATGATAAACAGGTAAAATACACGACTACTATTATAATATAAATATTATGTGTATTCTATTCATACAGCTACTGATTACCAAAATCAGATAGGCGAATTGATGCTATTGGTAATTTAAGCCCGATTGCTACATAGGTTAAATGATTTTTGGCTACAAATTTAATTTGATTCTGCGCAGACTCAAGATGAGCTTAAAACTGATTAATTATTTCATAATCAGAATAATTAATCTATCATTAGTATATGAAATTATACTGCAAATATTACTAGATTGATGTTAAGATTGAATCAAAAATTTTGATATGCTCAAATCTAAGTATATACTTCATCTATATTAAATCATGTATAACTTATGTTCTGGTATATCTTAGAGCTAATGATATGTGTAACAGACTAAAGTACAAGAAGAAACCGTCATCCTATCTCTTTCATAGTTACTTTCTACTGATTTATGTCCATGAATAGGAGGAGCTGATTTATTTTATTTTATTGCGAATGATTAGGGTGATTATTATCCAATAAAAATTTGCGTAGTCTAATTAAATCGTTCGTTACTTAGGTATCGAAGCTTAAAAACTGAAAATTGTAATATGAAAAATATTTTATTAAGGAAAATATTAAAAGTTCCAATTTCAATATCTATGGCGGTACTATAAGTTTTATAAATGCTATATCTTAGATATAAATGCAAGATGTATTAAGACTATTTGTCATAGCTGGAATATCCTTATGTATCTAATTTTGTAAGATTAATCAAATTTAAAATAATAAATTGCATTAAAAGCAGTCTTATATCAGCTAACAAATTTTTTGCCGAATAGTCTAAGGCGAATAACTCTTGCTAGCCAATCTAAACTTTAACTAGTATGAGCTCACAGCACCATCTAATTGGAATATCTTCGCGTGAAATGTTACATCTGCAGCCAATTGTTGTAAAGGTTGCCTTATGTAATGTAGTTCTATTCGTAGGCTACTATGATAAAGGTAACGTTTATATATGCATCTATCTTCGATTATTCTGAACAAAGGTAGATGTAGATACCAGGCAGATATTAAACATAAACAGTAATATATACCAATCTCTATTTCTCCTTTACAGTACTCGAAACTTTCATATAGTGTGTTTTCGTACATTATGAGAACGATTTAGTTAACTTCTATCTGGTTAATCTTGTCAATTTAGTTACACAAAAAAGTTCGGACATTTAATCTATTCTATTTTACTTGAGCCCATCCTGTTACATTATTTCCTTATCTCATCAAAATATTATGCAATTTTTTCATGTTATTGACTACAATAAAGATCACTATTTTCTTCTCTTAATACGATAACCTACTTGAAACCCTTGCTATCGCGATGTATGAGCAGTTTTAACAAATGCCACACAAAGTATTACCGCTACAACAAAATTAAGTCCAATGGCTAACTGCTTAGCCTTGAAATACAACTTTTACATCTAATTCTAACTACAAAATTTATACTATCCAAGTTAAATTTTATTTTATTGCAAGCTCATTGTACAATCCAATTGCAATACCCTTATATGAAATATTACATCGGTAGCTAACTACCACAGTTAAGCGAAATTAAAATTATCTATTTACAAATTGTAATACAATAAAGATATTGCGTTGACTAGAGCAACATCCAATCCAATTACGAAACTCTCGATATGTTAATTCGGTTATAACAGCAGACAGTTATAAAATGATAACGAATGCTCGTTTCAATTCAAGTTATTGAATTACCAGATCTTTTAGTTATAATGATAATAATATCGAAAAATAAATTTGTAAATTGTATTTGTAATGAAAAATCGTTAATAGGCGGATAGATAGATGGATAAATTGACAGATAGCATATAAAGTATTAGGCAACGTAAAGAAAGGAAGATCGATCCAATTATTTTAACCATTTATCAATGCCATATCCGTTCCAAAAATCTACATAACTTCTTCTTTCATAGATAGAAAGTTTTGCATTTTATGATCGAAATCAATAGGTCTTTCCGTTGGCTCTTTATAATGTACCGTCATTTTCTCACTTAAATACGTAATTAATTCACAATTTTCTTCAAATTTGCGCAGCTTATCACGATACTTCTTACGTATATATTCATTATTCCTTGGGTTATTAGCTAAGAGGAATAAAAATATGTATACTATTAAGTGTTGTACACATGTAAACTTGCACATGCTTGCAGATGCGTTAATAATGTTATTAAAATGATTCTACTAGATTCTCAAAAGCTACCTTTTAGAAAATATGCCATATAAATATGGGCTGATTGATGAGCATCCAAGAATGGATGTTTCGGCTTGAATGAGCCAACAGCTGTTAATGATTTTACGGTAATTTCAGCTAATGATTGCTCGAGGTAACCCAATATAGGTAGACCGGTCACATTTATTGGATCTAGCCGAGGAGGTAGTTTCTTTGGTAGCGTTAATCCGTGGTATTTATTTGGAAGCCTAGCATAGAGATACAAAAACGTGAGTCTGTAGCAAAGAAGTGAAAAATTTTGACTCCAATAGCACGATAAAATTTGAGATAAAAAGCAAAATCACAAGTCGGTGCACCTCATAAACTTTTCCAATTTATCTTCCGATTCAAAGGAATATATTTTACCGTCAAATTCGGCCAATAATTCTGTTTTACCAGGTATAATACTCTCATATCTGATAACAAAATTGTATTAGGTATTATTTAAATCATACTTCTATAGCCTCGGCTAATATCATTTTCATATAGCAGTTTATCCTATTTTCATCTTTTGTAGCATTTTACCTTTGGTGACCTTCCAAATAAGTAACTGGACAATAACCCTTTAACTCAATTTCCATCGGAAATTTCGCTTTAACTTCCGCAGGAGTGCGTTTAATTGGTAATAAATGAGGAAGAGGCAAGTTGACAGGAGACTGTGGCGCAAGAAATTGTTCAGTATTATTAAGAAATTCCTGTAAAGTTTCTTCATCAGCCATTTTATAATACCGACCACGGAATTCAGCTATAATATAAGATAAATTTTCATGAATTATGAAGTCATAGGAGCATGACCAGTAAGATCGACGTATAATGTATTTACCTCCGTATATTAATTGATTATCGCTATAACAGTCGCGTAACTCTCCTCGATTAACTAAACTAACTGGGCAATAATGCCGATATTCTCCAAGGCGAGCCTCACATTCTTCAGGCGTTATGCAAAGATTAGCAATAGGTGCAGCCAGACCTACAAGAAAAATACGTAACAGTTGCTGTTAGTATACCTTTATTGCTATGTATGTTTTCCGTGTTTAATATTCTTACCACTGTGGGATTAATAACAATTTTTTTACCTTTAGAAATTCTTTCGGTGTATATTTGGATTTGTTGAATACTTTTTATGGCAATTTCGGAAGCGGTATTCCATACTAACCATTTAGATGCTTGGCCATTGATAGGATACCAGTTGAAATGACGTTTATGGTACCATTGTTTCACCGGTATAACTACTTTTCTCCAATATTTCAATCTTAAGCTAAATATTCTGGAGCTGTCGTGTAATGGTAACACTCTGTATAGATGAGGGAAATAGTTAGTAGAATATCTTTAATCTGCGGTAACACAGATTAATACTATATATATATATATATGTAACATAACAATATATGTAATATCATTTTGAAACGGTAGGGAGTTTTTACCTATCTTTGGAACGGCGGTCCATAGCAGCTCGACGTTTTAGCTCTTTATCTTCAACATCAAGCTCAATAATTTTAACTGGAAGAATTTTTCGTTCATTCATTAATTCAACTTGTTTCTTGGTACTAGGGAAACCATCTAACACAAATCTATTTAAGCAAATGGACATAATTATTTATTTTGACAGACCAGATTATTTAAGGTTTTTATAACAAAATTAATTAACTTTAAAATATAGTTTATATATTTTATTTTATTACCCTCTAGTTTGACATGTTACATTCAGTAAGGCATTTTCTAACGCTTGAATGCCTAAAGCATCAGGTACAGTTTGTCCGACGTAAAGATATTCATTTATTTCCTTTGCTAAGGTGCTTGTACTTTGCTTCTCCAACACTAATCGTATGGCTTCTCCCATCGATAATCTCAAAACTCCATAGTCTGCTACAAATCGATTAGCAACTACAAGAAATTGTGATAATAATTATTAACTTGTTAATGGCATTGAAATCCTTAACATAATAGCGAGTATGAAAGGCATGGAGTAGATTATTGGATCCTTCAACAGTACGCTGCAGTAAATTATTACTCATTTTTATTTACTATCAGATCAAAACTTACGTGTTGTTTTGCCGGATTTAGGTGGGCCAACAATAGCTATTTGGAAAGGTATAACTGGACCTGGTGGAGATTGATGGATGTATTTGAGAGGATTATCTATGAATCGTTGTCTTGCATCTTCAGATGAAAGGTAATAAACATGAGAACGATGGACAACAGGATAAGTTGATACACCAGGACCATGCAACGGCTGCACAACTTCCTTATCGAACAGCTACATTTAGATACCAAGTCAAAAAGAGATATAATTTTAAGTATATTATCTCCGATACTGAAAGGCTTGCGATAAAATACTAACTTTAACTGGACACCACCATCCAAATTGGCTAGATTGCTTATATCCTGTTTCAATTATTTGCCTTGAAAGCCTAAAGTCAACGGGATGACACTTTTCCAATAGGCTTGTACGATTTTCAGTGTAGGGCTTGAGCAGTTTATTTAAGAGATAACGAACAATGTGAGGTTTACGGCCAGAAGTTACTTCAGATTTTGGCATCCAGACCTCTTCCATTGCTTCCTGTTATAGTTATAACGAAAAGCATGTCAACAATTTAAACTTATACACTCTACTTCACCCTAATAATACAATGTTAGCTAGCAGTATACCTGGACTAAACTTAAGCGATTCATATCGTCATCATATCGTTCTAATAAAACTGCTTTCAGTCGATCTCTGGCATCATCTTCAGCTTCTTCTTCTTCTTCTTCTTCTTCTTCTTCCTCTCCTAGCTCTTCTTCTAATAGAGCATCGACATCTTCCTCGTCCTCTTCATCTTCATCTTCTTCTTCACTATCTGATATGTCCGAATCACCATCTTCTCGCTTACGTTGTAACCGTTCTTCCCGCTCAGCTTGCCTGGCTGCTCTTTCAGCCTGTAATCAATTCATTTGTCGTGTTACGTGTACATTCAATTTATATACCTATTTAATCTACTAAAGAAATTGTTCGTTTTTGTTAGCCCTAACATAGCTCACTTTTACCTCACGTTCTCGTTTCCTCTCAGCAATTTCAACTAGTTTCTCTTCACGCCTTTGTTGATATTCTTCTTCCTAATGATCGCATCGACAAGATGATTGAATAAGGTTAATGATAAAATTATCATGGTAATAATTAATCTGTAAAAATTAAAACGCGACATACATATAAATATTGTATTATATTTACCTTTAACTTTCGTAGTCTTTCTTTTTCTTTTTCTCGCTTCTCAATTCTCTTATTCCGTTTAGTTTGCCACCTTTCCATCAGGGGAGGTAGTAACCGATCCATTACATCGGAATCATCAACACTTAAAATTATGATTATATCAGGGTAAAATCCTGCTTGCGCCATATAACGAACTTGATTTGAGGTACGTGGGAATCCTTCTAAAATAAAACCCTTTTTGCTGCAGTGTAAAGGGTACGAAAGATAAATTTGTTTCAATGAAAATGCGCTAAAGAATAGCTAAACAATACCATTTCTATAGAATCACCAACATTATTAAGGTTTGTAGACCTTAGCACATTTTTAGGATATTAATTACTTAGAATCAATAATAATATAATTTTAGTTCTATTTAGGGTAGGACTAACCGAAATGGGTCTTCGTCCCACCAAGGCTGAATAACTTTATCTAAAGTTTCGTCAGGAATAGGCTCATCATCTGCTAGATAAGCTCTTATTGCGTCTTCATCCTCATCTAGTTCAAGTTCATCATCTTCTTCTTCACCCTCCTCTTCAATGATTCCACCCCGTGCATTATTAGCTTCCGCATTTGCTTTATCTTCATTGCTTGGTGCTATGTCTTCAATTAGTTCTTCTACATCATAACATAAGAAAAAGTTATTGATGTGTACTGACGAAATTGTCAAGATCTGTATGTTAATTATAACATACCATTGTCATGTTCTGAAATATCGTCTTGTAATTCTTCTTCTAGTTCATCAACAATTCGCTTCTGAGTTTTGGTAATAATCAATTCTTGTAATCGTTCGCGGAACGTAATGTGAAATATTCCAAGTTGTTTACTCAACGTGCGACCATAAAATGTTTTACCACTTCCTCGAGGTCCAATAATACAAATCCTTAACGGGGGAGGCTAACAATACAAGGCGCAGATAAGTATAATTTTAATTTAAGTAAGCAAAAGCTAAATGATGGAGAAATTTTAAGCTCAAGAAATTATAAAGTTTTACCTGTAAAGGCTTGCCATTTGATAGAAATAAATTTGGATTGTCCAAAAACTGAGTTCTAGCATCATTGGATATAAAAAAGTAGGTATGCTCACGGAATCGAACTGCGGTATCTGGCGCGCCAGGGTGTAAAATATTGCGCTCTTTTAGAGTTACAGGACAGTAATGGCGTGTTTCACCAAAATTTTTACGCCCGCCGCCAGGGATTGTAAGATCATCCTCTTCATCTTCAAAATCTTCTTCTTCTTCATCTAAATCGATACCGGTATATTCCCACGGTTGATGTTCAAATTGATCTATGACATACATACGCGCAAGGTTTTACATAGATGTTGCGATTACAATTTAATAAATGAGGAAAAATAAATGTACTACTAGTACATTAAAAATATAGCTACTTACATTCTACTTGTTTAATAAATTCATCACTTTGTTCTGCAAGATCAAGTTCACATGGCACATGAATTGGATCGATCCCTAAGCCTTTGATTGATGGAAGGACATGAGACCAGTCGCGGTCAAAGAATTGTCTTGTTGTAACTTGTGCATGCCATTCAGGACATTCCGGTGGCATCATTCCCTAATATAAATTAAATGAATAGATCGTCATTGATAGGGATATATTAGTTTATTTCCTTCTAAATTTCAGCTAAATCAATTCATTCTTATTAGTTTACCTCCTCTGGTATCTTGTCTAATGCACTCATGAGAGTTTTTTCAAACTCTTCATCATCTCCAAGATCACCTATTCTTGACAATGATGCTTTTAATCGAATTTCTTCATCAATTAAAGCGTCTTCCTGAGCTTTAGCTAAATCTAATTTTGCTTTGGCTTCATCTTCATCGTCTTCGTCATCTTCATCTTCTTTTTTAGATTCGCGGTCTCTTTCATTTGATCCTAATGTAAAAATGAATATTGTATAGTAAGATAATTATTACCGATATGTACAGAACTTATCTTATAATTTCTTGATTTTATAAAGTTGTAATACCAGTATCTTCTTCTTCTTTACCGTCTTTGTCACCATCTTGATCATTACGCTCTTGCTTATCTCGTAATTCTTTTTTCTTGTCAGTAATCTCTAATAGACGTTTAACAATTTCTTCTCGATCTTTTTTTGACTTTTCACGACGTGCAATCTCTATTACTTTTTTACTCTCACATTCTTCACTCACTCTATTTACTATAGTCTCGCGATTATTTTTGAACCATCGCTTGGCTAAGACACTTTGATCTCCGCTATCATCCATAAATATCACATCATCAGGGATTAATCCACGATCAGCCATCAATGACCACTCATCTCTTGATCTAGGAAAGTTGTCCAGAATCCAGCTACCGAAGCTAAAAAAATATATTATCCTCAGTATTAATTCACCTCTAGAATATCAATCATGTTATTCATTTTCCTTAATAGTACACAGCATACAAGAATAAAAATTAATTATACGCTTATTGGGCTTACATCTGCCCATTGCTGTCGGGGGATTCTTGCAATTCTGTTGATCTTTCAATTATAGCATCTTCAATTGCATCCGCGTACATCTCAGGTGTGACTCGAATTGAATCTGTATTGAAATTTTCCATTGTACTATTGACTAAAGCAACTACTTCCGGATGATCCGGTCCTATTTCTTGTTCATCAATTACTTCATCATCGATTGGATCATCTACTTCTTCGTCATTTCCTTCGTCATCTGAAGCATTTGATGTACCTACGGTTGACAAAATCATTTTTCAGTAAAATATTTAATTGCTATATAATAGTAATGATCTAGTTTAGGACTAGCATTAATAGTAAGAGCAAATATCAAGACTTTAAAATACAGGTTATACTTTTAGAAGACAATCTTCGCTCTTTCTGGGAAGCTCTTTCAGCTTCAAATTGCTGATTAGATTTAACAACTGATATAGCGTTCGCCAGTGCTTCTTCTTTTGCTTGTTTATAGAGATTATCTTTAACTGTTTGAAGATGTGGTTTAACTAATTCTTCAGCACTTAATACCTGTATTACCCACATTGTAAGTGCATAGCCATTAGAATATACTAGTTATGAATATAAGCATTATTATTTATTTATTATAGAAATAAAAACCTTAGCATTTAATTTATTCGCTATAGATTTGGACAAAATCGTTTTTCCAGAACCAGGCGGACCTAATACAGCCAATTTGCAAGGAATTTTAGGTAGTGGGGGTAGTAAGTAAGGCCTTGGATTTTTCATAAAAGCGTCCAGTGCTTCTTGAGAGGACATAAAAAACATCTGTCCGAGGAAACTAATAAATATAATTTTGATAGTTACTATGTACAGTTATAGAAGCTGCACTAAGAATATCAGTTGAAGCTTTAAAATAGCATAAAGGGGTTTATTATTTACTCTATAATTACTATATATGCCTTCAATAGGGCATTGAGGTATAATTATATTGTAAATTTATAATAACTAAGTATCTTGATTACGTAAAATGAAATCATTTATATTGTCATAAGAATTATAAATGATGCCATTAAATTATAGCTACGCCAAACACTGCATAAATATAAAGTATAGTATTGTATGTTGCATTCTACGATTAAAACAGTAACTTGAAGTTATTGCATTTCATATTACGGTATACATTATTAAAATACTCTTGCTGTTCATTTCACTACAATTAACAGTTACTATGTAGTGTGTACAAGTGGAAGAGTAGTATTACCTAACGCCAAATTCGGGCTTGCCCATGACAATATTGCCCTGTCTCAATGCTACAGGACAAGCTCTTCCCCAACGACTTCTTCGCCACCTAAATCGTGGTGCTAACATATTTACAACTCCCATTGTTCTCATTAAATCATCATTGTCTATGTCATCTTGTGGGATTTCGTCTTCATCATTTTGTAGTCTTGTTGGTACAATCACAGAACGAAGCTCGAAAGTACTGAGTTTTGCTAGTAAGGCCTACAATTTGCATTGAGTATTATGCAAATGATTAAGAATTTGTAAAATTTTAGTGTTTTTTTGAATTGCTTAATGCTATTTTAGTGTATATATATATATATACATATAAAAATATATTTATTTATATGGTGGATGTGTATATATAAATAATTTTTACGAACGATCTAACCAACCTTAAATAGTTCAATTGGAGCCAATTTAGCATCCAGTTCAATTAAATATTGCCTATCATGATCTGCCATATAATCCTATAACATTTTGAAGGGAGATAAAATATCGGTTCACAATTTGAAGTAATTCGATTATAAATTATTGATGATTTTTTGATATCTTTAGTAAATACCTCTAGTGGCCTTAAAAGAATTTCTTTGTAATATTTAATGCTGTGCAGAATACGAGGAGAAAAATCTTCAGGCCTTCTAACTAATCTTTCGACTACTTCTTCAGTAAGTTCACCAATCATACTAAATACCTGTTAATAAAACAAAACTTACCATTAAAATCATAACGTTTATTTTTTAAACATTCTGGATGGGACAGTTGATAGTTATATTTAGCTATTATCATTTAGCAAACTGCATACATCCTCTTCTATAATTTCGCCGCTAGTGATAGAATCCTCTTCATCTATTTCTTCTTCTTCTTCCTCAATACTCTCCTCTTCGTTATCTAAACTTTCATCTATTAACCGCTGGGGTTCATAGACTTCTTTTACGAAGACTTCATTGGTAACCGGATCAACTTTGAGATTAAGCCGACGATGATATAAATCCTGATCTGGAATCTGTATTGAAAGTAAATTACTATTGTAAGCGTTATGGTAACTTTGTAATTTAGTAGAGAAATTTATAGTTGATCGTCTATCCAGTGCAACCTTTAAGTTAACGATAAAGTCCGGTTTTAAAGGCCAAGACTGTATCGATTGTATCTGTTTTGCTGGGGTCATCCATTCGTTTGATGCAGACGGAAAATCATCCAAAACATACCCTGTAGTGATATTATTATAATTGTTATAATAACTCTTGGTAAAATTGGCAGACTTTGAATTAAAAGTTTTAGTAATGGACAACAGTTAACAGATATGACGTAATTACGTATTTTAATTAACAAATTTACCATGATGTTGCACTTCTGGAGATTCTAACTTATTTAACAAAATTTCCATTGCTAATTCTTCTGGCACACTGTCGCCATTGAGTAACAACTGCTTAGCCTAGATAATACAAGAAATTGATATTCAATTGGCATTAATTTAGCTCTTTAACTATAAAGATGAGTTTGATGGTAGCTTGACCAACCTTTAGGCCAAGCACAGTTTCTTCCTTTATCGCTTCTTCAAGCGTTTGAGTACAATTTACCAAGATGCATTTCCAAGTCTTGGCTAATCTTAACGCCAATGTGGTCTTGCCAGAACCCTAATGTGTGCAATCGTTGAAGCTCTCAGCTAACTTAGCCTAGTATATGGCATACTTTGTGCAGAGGTACTTACCGGTTTCCCAATAATGATAAAACAGGTTGGTTTAGTAGTTAAGACGTTCTTGAAAACCTATAGGAGGTAAACTTTAGCTTAGAGATATTCACATTTTTGCTGCGATAAAAATTTCGGTTATGAACGATATTGATATTTGGATCATGATTCTACTGTAACCGTATACAGGTATGCGCAAAAAGAGTGTGGTATATTTTAATTTATCTAATGCACGGAAAATCAAATTAAAGTAACTAAACAACATTAATACCTTCAGGCATTTGGAGTAATTATGATGATTATTATAAACTAACCTTATCATCGTCGTATTCATCCACCATTTTTTGGTTGAAAATATTACTGTCCATGATTTAATAAATCATACTATCGATTTTGCTGATCCTGTGATCGAAAAGACGCGTACATTCAATTCAGATGAGTAGTACTATGACTATCGTTGAGGGTAATTTAGTGCAATTTAGTTAATATTAAATTAGGTTTAACATTACGCTACTGTACTGTAGATAGGTAATAAAACAAGAAATTATGATAAACTAGTTGTATTCAATGATCAAATAGATTAAGTGTCTGTAAAATTTTCGAATTTGTATCATTGAGTTTCTACCACCATCAATTGATCCAGTATACATACAAACATGAACGCAATCTTCATCAAGCTACCTTACCAATTATTTTATCTGTGATGGAAGGTATCGCTTTTAGCCAACTATGCTAGATTGATTATCCACTTTTTGCCAAGGAATAATTTACTCTTGTATATTACAAACGTTGTCAGGCTTGGGCTGATGTATGCTCTTCCCAGCTTGTCCACTATTCTGTATATACGTGGTTACTATAGAAACCAACTTGGTCTTGCTGACGGACTACGCGACTAACGCGAGTGTTCACTGTTCAGTGTTCAGTAGTCAGGAAAGCGTACTACAGTACAGTATACCGTACGGTACATTATTGTTCATTGCACACTGTATTGTACACTGTACACTGTACAGTACTGATTCGACTCAGTTGGAACAGTCATAGTGCCCGTGATAGAAGATCTTGGCGTCTGCCTAGCCTGAGTCCTGTACAGTGTACAGTGTACACTGTACAGTACTGATTCGACTCAGTTGGGACAGTCCTAGCGTACAGTAATTCCGTCTGCCTAGCCTGAGAGTCCTGTACTGTACACTGTAGTGACTGTACAGTACAGTACATTACTGTACTAGCTTGAGTCTAATGCTATTCCTGTACAGTGTACAGTACACAGTACACTGTAAATTGAAGATGTACTGTAAGGGTTTGTACTGTACTGTGTTCACTGTGTACAGTACAGTACAGTACAGCACACTGTAGTACACAGTACTAGGGACCTTTATTAAAGTACAAAGTACTCTAAGGAAATTCTTTTCCATCTGTGTTGTGGCTAATTCCAGGCGTCCGTCAATCCCTCAACTTGCCTCATTCAGAATGCATCAAACTCCGTTATATCACTTATATACCTCGCTGAAATGATTGTGAAATGGTATTACTATAGAATGTAATGCATTTGTAGAGCTATTTCAGCCAAGAATACTTCTATAGTACAACGAGTTCGATGCATTCTGACTGCGAGCTAGCGTACTGCATAACATCTTCGATTGCCAAATTCTACGCTAGTACGACAATCTTGCATATCGTCCAGTACTGAACTTCGCAGGTCTTGTGTACAGTCTACTGCAGTACACTCAGTACGCAGTACTGTATCGAGCAGTACAGTAGCGACTAGTGACTACGGATGTCGGAATACAGGACACCGGTCGACCACTAGGCAAATCGAGTGGTTCTGTCTATCTAGTCTGTCCATGGCTCTTGACAGTGTCGTCATGCGTGTACAGTACTGTGTGCAGTAGTGTGTGTCGGTCAAACGTTGAAGTCGAAGGGATGCTGTTGAGTTTCGAATCTCCTTTTCGTCAGAAAGTGTGCAACGATGGATGATGGCAAAATTCCATGCCTTCTGTGCAATCAATTATTTCGTCATAAGGAAGAACTGCAAGATCATATGCAAAGCAATTACTCGTTAACTATTAATAGCATAGAATGCGTAGCTGATTTATCCAGGTAACAACTACTGTATAGTGAAGTCATTTAGACGGCGATGAAGTCGACATGAATACAGTACATCAGTACACCATTGCTACCAGCTAAAATTTGATTGCATCACTGACAGTCCCAATATACTCGCTATTCGATAGAAGAACTCTGTTGCTACCATGCTTGCGTAATAATGATGATGTATGCTAGTGAAATGCTATAGTTGACAATTTGGAATGGGTAGTAAGTGCTAGATGTGACAATGAATGATACGCGTATCATTATAATAAATGAATGAATGATTGATTCATCATGGCTAGCTTCTGTCCTCCTTGCAAGCCACGTAGGCTCATGTTGACCAATGATGGATGTACTTGCTCCATGTTATGTCTATATTTTGCTATCAAGGATATCACTGTCATGATGATATTGTATGGCTCGAATAGTATTGATGCAAAAGCTTGGATAGGTCTGCTATTCGGCTACGGTGTAGGAAAGCATAGTGTTAGTCGTAGCGGCGTAGGTATATTATTAATTACGAGTAATTATTGTACTACATTACTAGCCTGACCTACAAAAGAATACAAACCATATTACTTTCGAATGGATGTTCTACTCAGTATACAGTTCTAGCTGTTATTCGGTCTAGCACAAGCATAGTAAAATCAAGTTCATCTAGGTTGCATTGTATACTATTACATTGAATAACATTGGATGGTACTAAGGTAGTTATCACTTAAAGATTGCTGACAAGAAGCAATGTTATTATGCCACATATCGCAAAGTTCATACATTACGCGTATTACTGTACTATTGGATACGACTATGATTGAAGATGGCAATTTTTCGGTGAGAATAGGTATTTAAAGTATTGGAAAGACAGATTAACCATAGATAATTTCAAGGACCTTCTACCGTTCGATCATCAAATAGGTAAAATCTAAAATTTGGGATGCATTATTTTACAATTTACTAGTAACTAGCAGTATAATTAATTGATTCTTTACATGTGCACGTACAAACTATAAGAGCTGTATGTGTTAGGCCGTGATAATGAAGATGACTGCAATCTTAGAGAGAAATTAAAAAAGGATACTTTGGTGAGTCTATGTAGAAGTTGTGCAATCTTACCGAAATAAAGCTTTTCATAAGCATAATACGAGCTTTGAATGAAATCTCACTATCCCGAGTAACTTTAGATAAAATTTTATCGTGATGTATATCAGCTTGAAATTGAAATGTTAGACCGTATCACAATGCTTGTCATGCGGTATTTCCTATTATGACCTTTGCTGGTAATGACTAGACTTTAAGTGCGACAGTTGATCTCTTTTTCAATTTGTTGTATACGAGTAGTTAGCTGCCTTAGCTCAACAAGAACGAGAAAGGATGGACAGTGAACGGATGCTATCGTGTTTATTTTGTAAAAAATTATCAACTAGCAAAAGGTACTGCTGGTTAGCAAGTTAAATACTTATCATCGAATGTTGGTCTAAAGTGTCTTGAAATTATTTCTAGTAATCAGCTTATTAAGTATAAAAATTCCAGAACTTATAGAATGTCTATTCTTTGAAATGAAATAGAAAGGAGTTACTAAATCATATGAATGAAGAGCATGCGTTTAATTTAGGCTTACCAGATAATCTAGGTAACCCTTGGTGACTACAGTATTATGATTTTATTGCTATAGTTTCAATACATGGTGCCTCATAGGTTATTATAAATGCTCTTCATAGAGCTAACCCTTCAAAGCTGACTTTTATCAATTACGTTTTAACAGTTTACGTAGATCAGTTTTTAACCATCTTGAAATATAAGCTAGAACGGTATGATATTTTATTTTGTACGTTTACTTGAATTGCTTTCTACAGTGTAAAAGGATTAATCACAATTCGAAATATAAGTAATGAAAACTATTTTCTCGTAGATTTATTTGTTTATATTGCGAAAGAACTTTCCGCGATTCTACCACGTTGAAAGACCACATGAGAAAGAAAAGGCATAGAAAAATTAATGCCAATAACAAGGAATACGATAAATTTTATATTATTAATTATCTAAGTAAGTACTCTTATATACCAAAATTCAAGAACTTGGAAATTTCCTTTTAGATTTACAAGTAAACAGACAGTATCATTACTAGCAAGTTAAAAATACAGACTGTGCTGCACTGCATTAAATAGGATCCTGGTAAAGGTTGGAAGAATATTCAAGAAGAAGAGAACAGACAAGACGACAACGATACAGACAACTCGGATGAGTGAGAGACTTTTATAGCTAATTTGCAGTTATATAGGGGATAACTGACTATCTCATTAAAGTTTTGCTATAACCTTTCTGCAGGGAGTGGAGCGATGAATCTATCGATCAGGCTGCAAACGCTTCATGTTTGTTCTGTGATTTGACTTCCCAAGTCAATGATGTTGTCGTCCACTTGAACGTAAGGTTACTCATATAAGTTCTATAATATAGTAATTTTTAAACTTACTTACTGTCCGTAATCATTAGGATTTTCACAATTTTAATATTTCTGGTCTTGTGAAACAATTCGGTAAGAAACTATACTATATCTATACAAGAGTATAAATAAAGAAATAGTATAGTCCAATAATTTAATTTCCATAGATTCGAACAGAGCTATGTTACAATATTCTCGTGTGTATTTGGACTCATAGGACTAAATATCTACGAACAGATAAAACTAATTAACTACTTACGATTAAAGGTAAGTCATGCAAGTAATAGTTCAATGAAAAATATTATTTGTACGAGATGCGTGAATCTATGTTAATGCCGATTTCTGTAACCGATAAAATTTAGATTTAGTTTATTAATGATTATAGAAATGTGACTTGGGTGTTAATAAATTAATTAATTGTAGAAAAATGAAAATAAATGCGGATTTTGTGGCTGTCAGTGCGCCAGTGTGGAAGAATTTTCAACGCATGTTAATGGGGCTCATCTATGTTTTAATTCTGAAATCAAGGAGATTCAACTTCCCGCTAAAGAACATTGGAACCTATCACTGTATGTCACGTACCTGAAATGCTTTGATGTACTGTACCCATAGTGGGAAAAATATCTATTTGAATGCTTTCGTCGATGCAAGTACAGTACTGCTCCAATTTTGTTATTTTGGAGTATTACTGTACATCGTAAGCTAGCATTAAGTTACTTTTCTTTGGTTGCTATTGCCGGGCGGCATCATTACTAAATTGTTTTAATTTGAATTATCTGTAGATTTTTGTTCCCAGTCATTGAAGATGATCCATTGCTATGTATATTAGAAGATGAATCCACTGATTGTTCGCCATTGTGATTGTATAAACGATAGACTATAGTCTTTACGGAAATAACTCTAGATTAACGTTTGCTATAGTTGAGTACGAACTCACACGTTCATATGTATATACATGCACACTATGAAGCTTACGAAGAGAGGATAAATTATCTTCCACACCGTTAGTTAAAATAGTTTTTACATTTTTATTTCAATCTTTACTACCCATCTATTTATTTGCTAGACTTAAATGGTTGTTTCTTATATTAATCGGTTAGCAGCTATTTAAAAATTTTTTAAGTTGACGTGATGCAAGGTTAATTGCTATCAAATTGTAAGGCCTAAAAAGTTGTAACTATATGATTAATAACAATGCTGCTGTCGATATAAGATGTAATTGATGTGATTACACTGTACCTGTACATATTGTTTAAAATTAATTAGTTAAGTACGGTATGCCAGTCAATGACTACAAGCCATTGCTATAAAGTTGCAGAATGAATTTGGCTTAATAAAAATAGAAAATTAAAATTGCAAATGCTCTGCATATATACAGTAAAAGAAATTTCTGCGATACTATGTTATTAGTATTTCAGGTACACAGCACATTTTTTAAAATTGTAATTTGTAGCAGTTCAATTTTGTTTTCGAATTACAGCGATACTATATAACGCATTACCGCATGGGTGTGCAGTAAACGGGTATCACACGTATATACAAAATCAAAGTAAATTATTGTATTGCTAATCTGCCAAATCAGCATCGCATTACAAAGGGTAGAAAACGAGATACAGCACAAATAATTGTAAATAAAAGATACTATTACGATATCGTCATTCCAGAATAACTTTATTTCCTCCCCCAAAAATTCTCCTTTCTTTGTTTAGATCTTTCTAGTACATCAGAAGCATAAGAACTAGCCATAGAGGAAACTGACTCTCGATCATCCAATAAACGGTTTTTTAATTTAGAAATTCGGTCTGAAATTTCTGCTATATTGCCGTCATGGGGATTATTATCGCCAGTATTTCGATGAGAATTCGAATAATATCCTCTGTCTGTACTGTTTTCATTACCAGCAACATTACCATTTTCATTGCGCTTAACGATTGTAGTTGCATTCTGGCCAAATTTTCGTCTCAGATTGGATGATTTTGGCGGCCTTATATTTGAATCCGAAGTTAAATTGCGATTTTCTTTCGTCGCTTCGTTCTTGTGGTTAGCAAATCCGACGGTTGTTTTAGCTTTACTGTAGGTATCCACATTTTTTAAATTTCCTTTATATTCCTTATTTAATCCATCTACATAAAATTGAATTATTATCAATTAAATAATTTAGATATCAAACGAGTTGTGTTGATGTTATAGTGAGTTGAAATGATTAAATTAGTTAATATGATGTATGAAGCTTATACGTAGATTCTTAATTTAAATAAAACATTGCATATGTGATAATATTTACAGTTGCCACTATGCAGCGTATTACCGGAGTTTGATTTTGTAGTTACGAAACCATTCGTTTGCTCATGGTCATGACTCTTACTCTTCGGTTCATATGCTTTGTTATCAATGGGATTTCTTCTTTCGACAATAGTATTACTTCCTAATTTCTCAAATTGGTCATTCCCATTCCCTTGTCCAGCTTCAATATTTCCATTACCAGGCCTTTCACTCAAAGTTTCTTCATCGTCGTAATCCTCATCAGCTTTGTTACTTTCTTCAGTTTCGTTTTCGTTCGCTTCGACGGTCCAGGCTTCCTTTGGCTGGGAAGGAGGCAATTGCTGTACTTGTGACACCTTCTACGAATAATATTAATCTTTATCAAATTACAGCATCAAAAGATGGAAATAAGGTAGATGTGAAATAACAATAGTACCTTTGAAGTTGTTGAGTAACTACCACGTTCATTTGTAGTGCGATTTTCTCTCCCTGATCTAGAAGTATCTGATGCAGGTTCCCAAAGATCTTCTTGTGCCATTTCCATTACCAATAGATTCTTTCTTGTAAAGAATGTTCCCTGCTGCGATCTTTCACGAAACAGTTGAACCTTTTCACGCAGTTCCAAAATCTAATTATGACATAAACAATAAATACATCGTCAAAATTAACTAAGAATACGATCCATGATTATTCGCAGTCGTAAATACTTATAAGTTGCCAAGCTATCTCAAATACCTGTTTATACCACGATGGTGTACCATCAGGAGAAATCACAGGAGAATTATCATCATCCTGGATATATAAATCATAGAAATACGTAAGCAAATAGCTACAGTAAAATTAATATTTTAACATTTCTGTAAAAGAAATCAACTTAGACCAAGCTTCAAGAGGAAGTCTAAATTAAACATGCCTTAATTTTGGTTATATTCTTATCAGTGATTCGCTCTTTCGGAACGTAGGAACCTCCTCTGTATGCCATTAGGAAGGGTGCCTTAAAGTGTTCTTGATATTCCGTTGTAAATTTCCTAAATAGAAAATTAGATCATTTTAAGAATCGCTAAGGTAGTCACTAGTAAATCCTTTAATCTTAATGCTATACTTTCGTCTTCGATGAGGGAAGAAAGGTCGATCTGGATTTTCAGATTGCTCTAAACGTTCCATATAATCAGATATTTTGTCTTTATAACCAGATGCTTTAATATCTATTTTATTTTAAAAGAATAAATAAATTAATCTGGCAGATAGTATAAAAGAGATTGAATTGAAAAGATTACCTTCAGATTTCTCTTTCTATTGCAATTGTGGTAAAAAAATAGTAATTGGTTTGAGTAATCAAGAAAATGGAATTAATTTATAAATAATAATACGTAGAATCATTAAGTCTTAAGTGATTAGATTGCATAGACAAAATAATCATATAAATACGATTATACCTTATTATAATAGTCTCCATCTAGAATACTTTTCGTAGTATCTAAGCTGCTTTCCGATCGTTCATCGATAGAGCGGCTAGGACGTGCCAACCTTGATGATTGATCTTGCGCGGCTGGTTTAGTAGACTGCTGCATGGATTGCCTCCAATCCTGATACTGTCTTTGATATTCAGATTTTACGTTAGGCCTTGGGCCCATATCAACCTTAACAGGCGCTAGAAAAAGCAGAGAATATCGTAGATTGTTAAAACATGTATCATTGGTTATTACCCTTTGTAAAATATTGCATAAAGCACTAGTGGTCTAACCAATATCAGTACTCGATTTGAAGATGGTATTATCTGCGGCAATAATTGGTGATGCTCTTTCCGGTAATTTTTTCCAATCGTATTGTCTCTGATACTCAGATTTGCCATAAGCTAATCTAGGAGGATTAGTAGGGCGTAAACCAGCTTTGTACTGTAATGCTTTGCTACCAATCTTATCCTGCAAAAAATCGAAAATGTCAGTTCAGTATTAAATCCTTACATTAGTATGTTATGATGTTACCTTATCATTAGAATAGGCTAATAGTATAATAGTAGCTAATAGTTATACTTGTAATGCCTTAACGCGAGTATTATTTGTGAAACGCTGTTACGTATTTGATATTGATTGTTATTGTGTGTAGGTAGCAAGAAGATAATTCAAGTTGTAGCTCATGATAGTTGGATAAGATAGTAATTATGCTGAGATTAAGTTGAAATATGTATTTACTAATGGAATAACTATGTTAGGAATATTTCAGTTCGAGATATCTTCCATAGTAAGGTATAATAATATAATTACAATGTAGTTGTTTACAAATTAGACAGTTCTTTATATAAAGTGAATCATTCGAGTAAGAAAGTACTGTATTGTGAATAACTGTGCCAATACAAGTTCTACCTTTACGATACGATACTGCATGTGCGTTTGATGTTTTAAAGCGTTTAAGCTAGTAGGTTAATTATTGACTTTTACTTTATGTTCCCTTATCGCAGAGTTAATTTATAATATATTACTATTTATTTCAAATTTTTTAGGCTATACTGGATTAAAACATCAAGTGTAAGAAGAATCTAATGTAACAACAGAATATTATGTCCTTACGCCAATGTCTACGACAGAAATGAAAAGTTTACATTTCATCTAAGATTAGGTCAGAAATTATTAATAATAACTTGTTGATATGATGCTATCCAAAATAATAATGACGTAAATATAATACGAGCAGCTTACTTCATCTTTGATGGCTGCTTTTTGTCTCACTTCTTGAACAAGACTTTGTGGAGTATCATCTGGAGCAGTGTAGGGTCTGGCTTGATTGATCTTATTATTTGCTTCTTGATACTTTAATGATTCACCAGCAGAATCGGGATGCTTTAAAGTAAAATGAAGCAATTCATCAAAGTATATCAGGGTTAACTAGTTCTATATGAACTGACAACACTAGCAATCGTATTTATGTTTACATCAACAACATCCGTCAGACTGATAGCAACAGCTAAAGTGTACTATCAACAGATAAATATCTCAGTATTTAACTGGCTACTATGAGATAAGATTGTAGTAATGAATCTTTACTACGACTACGATAATACAACTTGCGCCTAAACGAAATGCTGTAGGCGTATATTATCAAGACGTTGGTTTCAAAGCATAAAATGGGAAACAATTTTCAATCTTGTTTATTTGTACTTTCTATACTATATTTCTTAGAATCATATGCCATCGTCGCTACCTGAATAGTAACTCTTTTTTTCCTCTGCAATGGTGGCTCTCTAGCGGTTGATGATTCCTCCGATGGGATTCCTGCCGTGCTTGACTTCTCGACGGTTGGTCTATCTTGAAAGTTTGCAGCTTGATTCTGTGATGGAAAAACTGCACTTTACTTTGGCCTTCCTTCCACAGTTTACCGATGCTGTAAACTATTCCAATGATTAACACTACAGTAACACTACTACAGTAGTAGTCGATAGTTTTTATCCACTATGAAAGTACTGGCTTTAACTTGTACAAAAAAGCAAAGGATGGAAATTGGCATAAAGCTTATGCTACTGTATAGTAGAAATAATTGGAATGTTACCCTAGTTTGTCCTTGAGACTTACTGTAACTTTATTACAGTATAATAGTCGGATTTTTGCAATAGAGAAAGAATTTTTTATGTATAGCAGTATTGTAAGACTGATAACAAATAGAGTATTTCTAAAGGGCAATATGTATGCAAACGGAAGAGTAAACTCAATAAGCAATTAGTGCAAGTCTTTATTGTAACGATGCATATCTACGATCACTTAGGCTAAAGGAATGTAATCCTGGAAGATATCCTACTCAGCTTGCATCCTTTTAACAGTGTTCTATTCCTGTATGGATTTAATTCGAAATGGCCTACCTCAAATCTAACAGGCATGTTGAGTTACACCAAATTCAGTACTACTATTAGTATTGCTGTTATCTTTGGCTTAAAAGTTGGATGTCAATGGATTTATTGAAACCAATTGTGACGAGATTCTGCAGACCAGGATAATATTTTTCTTCTTATTTTGCACGGTGGGTAACTTTCTATCTACCCTGGCTTTCTACAATGCTCAGTAGGACCTATACATCCATACAATTAATCATTGTCGCTATTAATTCATTGCTAAAATGAACAAGTTGTTGTAACGTTGCGCAACTATTGTCACATTGACATGAATGGAAAATTGTAATCATAATTCATTTCTAGCTTTGGCATAAGGTCATTTTCATGATACTCTAACGTGGATCTCTGAATGTATCGTAGTTTCAATTTTTCAAAAAGTCTTGTAATTTATTCAACATGCTGTCCTAATACTGTAGAAGGTAAGATTGACTAAATATGGCCTATTTAAACTCTCTATATAATAAGCAAGTACTGGTCTATCAAGTCTATTTAAGATTGAGCTAAGATGAACGAATAGAACTAAACGTTGATTTCATCCTACTTAGCCTGTATTTCTACCAATACGAATGTACCATATCATGCTGATTATTGCAACGAGTAATGTAGAATAGCATACCATTGATAAAATAGGGGCTGTATCAGATGTCTTTGATGGAGAAGCAGTGTAATCTTCTATCGGACGACAACTAGATGGAGTTCCTGACAGGTTAATAATAATTTTTGGGGCAATTCATCAATTTTTCTATTTGTACTGAAGTATTTACAGTTAATAATTCAATTTAAATTGAATTTAGGCAGTGTTTTGAAATTTGCAGTCGTGATGGTAGCACAGAGTGCAGTGTACTGTACTGTGCAGTCTGTACTGTAGTCGATGCACTCTGTACTGTAGTACACAGTACAGTACATATACTGTGTAACACAATACTATATACTGTACTGTAAAGTACGGTACTGGACCGGACTGCTACAGTGCACAGTGTACAGTGAACAATGCACAGTGTAGCCACTGTACTGTAAGTACCCACATTTAAACTCCCCAACCTGCAAAGCATCCGTTAAAAATCGGTTTGACATTGCGCGGGAATTGGTCTAACTGACTGAGAGGTACAGTACAGTGAGTCCAGCCAGGGTCAGTCTGTAGCTCAATCATTTGTAGCTTCCATAAGGCCTTCAAAGTACCTTTAAAATGGTGCTCGGTAACTTGCTCTCTCATGCTCATGGGCCTGCTGCTGCTATGGATACTTTTATTTAATTTATACCTTTACTGTAGGGACAAGTGCTTTGTTTTCTCTATCATTGAAAGCACGGCTAAATTGACTTTTGATAATCAATATTTTTTTATAAATAGGAAAAAAGTTGATTGACATAATTAGATTACTTGGTCCACGATACTCAGTCGGACTGACTACTGCCATGTCTTGCATTGGAGCACAAACTTTACCCATTCAAAATTCCAACAGATGATCCACTCATGGAAGGGTGTAATAGATAGTACACAGTAAATAATCCTGCTGAAACGGCTGGTATACAGTATACCTTCAATCCACCTGACCAAACAGATTTGCTCCATTGGAACGAAACTAGTACAATCACCCGTCGCCTTGTTGACAGATTACTATAGTATACGGAATAGGGAAGTTATTTCTCGAATGGTGGCATGGTCGATGAATTCTATTATTTTCACCAATTAACCTACATTTTCCAGAAAGGACAAAGCCTATATTGTATAATACACTATTATACTCGCGACGACGATATCATCAATGGATAGCTTTCTAAAACTAATAAAAGCTAATTGGCAATAGTAAACGTTTTAGAGGAAAAGCAACGTTTCGTATGACATATCAGGATATGTTACATTATGACCAACGAAGCAATTGTTGCTATTGATAGTGAATGAATTATATTATACTGTACAGTCTAGAACATGATTAGTCAATAATGAATGAATACTTTGAAATAACCTACTGTTGATTAGGTTATATACAGCATGCTATGCTAGACGTATCATTTTATTGGGCGTGTAGTTAATACTGCGACAGTCGAAAATGTGATATAAAATGGAAACTATTGAGTTAATTTACATCAGATTAAATTCTTAACAATTTTACACAATACTAAACGTATCACGTTACCATCCGATAGCATGTCAGTGCCAGAATAAGATTCTGAATATCTACAATTTAGGGTAGTTCGTCTATTTTGAAATGCTCCTGGTAAGCATTCTTCCGTGATTTTCGCTTGACTTTATAAGATACCTAGCGTGATAGGCACAATCATTATTAACGTCATGTTACCAAAAGAAAAAGTAAACGAATTCATCAGATATTGACGGAGTTCAAAAGAGAAACTGAGTTCTCGTATATTGCTCGAATAGAGATTGAAAGTAACTGTATAAGGAGAAGTAACCTAGTTATTACAGCCACACTGGAGATATTCACCAATCTTTACCACAACGGAGGGTTGTAACAAATGCACGTGTAAAAAAAAGTGAGAAATGATCATTCCTTGCGCTACAAAGGTGCCGTAGGCTAGGCTCTACGATGTACATTACTCTAGCCGGTAGCGTATCCGTTAATCATTATGCAGAGAACCAATCCCAGGATTGGCCAATTTCGTGCTTTGCCGCTATGATAAAGTGTCTTTTCAAAATAAAACAACAATTACAGTTTCTTGTAAACTTTATTACATGCATTCGGTTCGTCTCACTAAACATAATCATATCTTGCCAATAAAGTCACAAGATTAAGGTTTTCAATCTTAGACATATTTGGCCTGTATGACAGTCTTACATCGATTTGAAATCAAAAATATGTGTATGTATATGTACCTTGCTAAAACAGCTTTTATGATTGATTGTACTGTATATGCCACTTTCGTAGAATGAACTATACAGTACAGTAGAAGCTGTTTCAGCCACGCACAGTATTCATAACTGTTAACGGATATTGAATTGGCCAATTGTACATTATTTGGCAGTTTGATATACGCCACATCCGACATTGAATCAACGCAATATCATACCTCTGTTAACACAGAGACTCGGCAGTTGAATACAATTTTACAAGTAAGGTGTAGAAGGACCGTATTTTCTCATTATTCCAACCGATCTTAAAACAATCAGTTACCTATCCGCCATTGTAAAGCCTCGCTCTATTGAACAGCTCGTGTCTGAATTTTTTTATTGCCAATCCTTCTCGAAATATTGAATACGAGTCAATCTCGTTTTCATCGATCATTTAGTGAAACTTACCGTACTTGACAACATTGCCAGGCCCTTTCGTTATTACTAAGTAGGTGATTACAATAAGATTATGGAAAACAATTTTTAATTGCCTTTATTGCATAGCGGATTGCAGGATGTAGGTTAAGAAATTGAAGACTTTAATTTAATTGATTGATTTCCTCTTCCGCCACCAATAAAAAATAATATTCATTGTCAGAAAGTCTATTCAGGAGCTACTAAATACAATTTTACGGTAGTACATGAGTACAGCACCGGAATATATCCATTAATAAAAAATGCGAATTCAATACACACTAACCGCCTACTTGGTATTTTTGTTTTGTAATTGCTTTTCGTGTATAACAAAAGTGTGAAGTGCTTAATTATATAGTATTTATTTACTTCGACGCTTACAGCGTCTGAATTAACTTCCTCTATTTTACGTGTGGGATAACAATGTACAGTATTTGTGATGCGAATGAGTATTGTCTAGATTTAGCAAACCAGACAGTCCAGATAATGTGTCGAATCAGAAGACGCATCAAGAATATCAAATAAATCGTTTCCATTTATTTGAATTGACAAACGTCTTTTACCACGCATTAAATGTCTGATAATTTCATATGAAACCCCTGTAAAGTAATTGGCTAAGATATATTCCGTAAAAACAAACAACCAATTAGTTGAATGAAATTTTTATACATATGTAATCGTAGTGTCGCATTGGCTTAAAATGAAAAGTAACGAATCGCAAGAAAACTGACCACTAGGACAAGTGTTAGACTACGGCGATAAAGCCGCTGAAGAAGTACTGTCTCTCTTGGATGTTATAACCATTCTAACTCCTTCATCGCTGTTTATCAAATATGTATATTACGCAACGAATACGCTAAAATATTATTCCGTTCATCCCTTTGATTAGCCCATTTGTCACGGGTATAAGTTAAATAACTTTAGTGGAGATAGAAAGAGGCAGCTAAAGTTAATTTATAACATCTTTCTGGATCATAGTTCTCTATGAATCTGCAAAATACTTTGTTGTAATAGCCTACTAACCTCTATGTAGTGGTAGCATACGTTAACGGTAGATGCGAAAAACGTAAAGCTAGTCTAATAGTCTTTATTTCACATTTTATAATAGTCTCCTAGAAGTTATAACAAATTTTGTAATAGTTACAACATTTGAACGAAACGCAGCAGTATCCACGAGTAACCCAACACGATACGAAATTTGTTTCGTGATATCTTTGCTTATGTTTTGCACGTTAATATAATAGTTACTGTTAAGGTATTTAAAACAGCTATTGTATCGAAATATGGACACAGTACATTTATTCTAGACTTGAAGGAACATATCTTTAATATGCCTTTTGCGATATTGTTTTACGATATTGTTGAATTTTCCTTATATTAGTAAAAACACAATTGCCCTGTGTGTAAGAAATAAAAACAAGAAAGATTACTTTAATTCTGAATTGGTAGCAGTTACATTAAAAGTTACATTGTCTTACCTTTGATGCTGCAGAATTTATGCAGTTTATACTACTTACATTACAAATCTATGATATGTCAAACTTGTTAGAGTTTGCATGAGGTCATATTAATATTATTTGCAAATTATATACGACATGACATACAGCACTATATGTTCTTTTAGTGGAAACTGCATTTGTTTCGTACTTTCATTATCAATGATGTGCAGGGGTCACGCATGATTAACATAGTGTAATAGCGATTATTAATGTCACTTTGGCTGTAAAATATGACGACTATGTCTTGTCAGGATAACTTAATTCTTTAATTACAATTTGAAACTGAAAAACGTGACCATAGACAGTTATTATGCAATGTCAAGCAAATATTTTTTCAATTAGTTTCTTAACCATTTAATCTTCTAATATTTTGACGACTTTATATAACTATAGACAACTTTATCATGCAGTATAGGCTTAGGCGTGTTGTTCAATTTGTTCTATATACTAAGGAAACGAAATTAAACCTTTACTACAGCTTCGATAGTAAATAATTACAAATTTAAGTTAACTCTTATTAAAAATATACCGCTAAAATGAAAGCACTTTTATGATTTCAATACATAAAAACTTTGACAGCATATCAAGTAATTAAAGTCATTTATTTTATTATTATTGCTTTAGTTATCGTTGTTTCACTGCTTACATGTTGCAGTTCTTATTTTAGAATGCCGATAAATTAGAAGCTTGCAACCATTGTACTTGCTGACGCCAAATTCATAATTTATATGCTGTGAAAACATCAGTGTACTATTATAATCAATATTGAACATTTATGAGCAGAAATCTGCGACGATCACATTCGTGGTGATTGGTAATCCATGAATTAAATCTTTTTTTCTAAAATAATCCAAGCAAAGCGAAAAGCATGAATATGATGCCTGCTTTATTGACGTCAAGAAAATGATAGCTACTACTAGCGGAAAACTTCAAATGAAAAAAAATTTCAATTAAACTGCATCTATGTTGCTGTCACAAAACAGCTTTGCAACAAGATAACGTAATCTACGATCAATAAGTCAATTCCTTGAACTACGTATCAAGGAACGATATCTGCACTATCACGAGCACTTTTGCTCTACTAGCAGACTACACAAAGACTTAAACGCCTCGTATTTTACGTTAAACACTAAGTTGGAAATTCTTCTTTATTTCACGATATACTGCATTTATATACTATTCCTCAATAGTTCATGAGTCATAGTTAATACAATTAACATTAGAATCATTTACTGAATTAGATATTAATTTTAGCTACTGCTCTCTTAATGCAGACAACAGTATTTACGAACATAGACATGTAATAACTAATACAGAATAGTCAGATTACGATATGTCCTATCACGGAACATTTCCATGATAATTTACAGTCTATCATAAGTAAATTACAATCACAATGATTCGAACTGTAAGCAGATGATTTGCATTCCCTATTATAACTATTATAATTTCAGTATGTGTATAAGTGTCACTGTCATAAAAAGTCAGTGCTATATTAAAATACAGTATATCCAAATTAGAAGTTAACTAAATAAGGATAGTCTAGCAGAATTATCCTAACATAGTTATTTCTACTGTAATACAGTATTTAACACTGTAACAGTTGCGTTATACTCTGAAAGAAAGTATCGGTACTTCTATTTACAATACGAATTCCCAAGTAATATTTTTGTTTAAAATCAAACATAATATAGTAAATATTGTATAGATAACTGATGGAATGCTAAACTATTGAAACTATCCTCTATGTCTAAAATGATAGCAGTGTTAAGAGATAATCGTCCGTGTTGAATAAGCCAAGTTAATTGGCCTTACTTGATCGCAGACACTGTAATTATATTGAGATGCTAAACAATTTAAAATGAATTACGGTACAATTGCAAAGAGAACAAAAATTATCATATAATGCAGCAAATCAGAATAGAATTTATTTAATTTATTTAACGATTACTGTACTAAGCTATTTTATAGGGAGTCCAGTTATCTCTTTAAACCTTAAAACGAAAATATATTGTCCAGATATTCAATACTTAATTGCTTACTGTAATCGACAATATAAAATAGCATGAAAGCGGAATAAATACTAATCACTGACCATTGTAAACGGATGAGTTAGATGATATAATGTGAATATCGCAAGATCTAGCTACTGTTATCTTTACTACATTATCGAAACTAATAGTTTAAAATCTTTTTAATTTTATCATCTGCTCCGCATGCTGATAGTAATACATGTTTCATTTGATTTTATAGAACTATAGATAATTAATTTCTAATGTTGCAGAAACAAAGTAAATGACCTCACTGATTCATAAATCAATGTTGTAATAAAATTTCGTACCTATATGCAAATTGAGTAAGACTTATTTTCTGGAGAATGCTAGGATACCTGATATGTAATGGTCTATGATGATAAACTTAGGATTAAAAGCAATTATATCAGCTCATGCGGATCAATGGATATTTTATTATTTTTTTCTACTTTTGATGAAGTTACATTATATATTTAGAATTGGATAACAGCTTTTTTTAAAAGTCTTTAGAATAATATATTATACTACATTAGTAGTTCAGTAGGTAATAGCAGAATTTTATTTGTATACTTAGGTATCGATTAAAAGCTTAATTTAATTCATTTCATAAATGATCACACTTCATATTGATGTTAACACCAATAATATGGCATCTTTATGGATATTAAGTACTAGCTTAATCAGACTTAACGTATCGGATATTTCAAATGAGATAAAATAGCAGAACATTTTCATATATGCTACTGTAATTTAAAGAGAAATGAATAAATACCTACAGAAACTTCTGTTATTATGGATGGGACATTGTACTATTGTGCTTTATTAATATTTTTCGACATCGGCTAATATAGTATTGCTTGGTGCAATCTTGACATTTTTCTCGATAACTTTTTAAATTAAATTGGCAGTTACATTTTACGCTTTGCGTGGATTTGGTAATGTGATAACCATAATCACAGCACATTTCTTCACACGAAATTTCACCAGCTTTAGCATACAAATGACATCGCCTACCAGCAACGCCAGTGATTCTATATTTCTTGTTTTTAGCGCAATAGTCAGGTGATGGATCAATATAAATTAGTTCGTTGAGTTTAGGTAATCTTGCTCTCGAATTGTTTATTTTAATTACCAATTTGGTCTTGAGTCCAGTTTGCGGGTCTTTAGCTGAAGATTTCGCAAACATTGCTTTTTTGACTAGATTGGTTATTATGCGTTTTATATCCTTATCTGACGGTATATGAAAGAAGCAGGTACTGATAATGCTCATTTCCCCAAAATAATTGCAATGAACTTTTACTATTTTCTTTATTGCCTTATTTTTAAAGGAAAATAAAATCAGTTTGAAGAGGTTAGAAAAGAGTTTGATGATAAATATATATAGAATTGCATGATTTTCAAAATGGCTTAAAATGGCTTAAATTTTCTAGTAACAACTTAGATCCTTTTTAATAGTGTAAATTATAAAATTATGGAACGGAAATATAGTAAGCTGTACAATTTTATAGTTTTTTTTTCTCTAAAGTAGAAATTATAAATCATATACTATCCATGCGATATAAATTTTTAATTAAATTTTAGTCTAAATTATTACATGAATTGCAACGCGGTGGTTGTGTTCTTCCATTAAACGACGACGATCAGATATTCTAGCACTATTTAGAAAGCTTTCCACAATTCCGAATATTCTGTGACATCTTTTAAGATGCTTATGCATATTTTCACCAGTGCTAGCATTCAAACCAGGACAGATATTTAGAGTTGTTCCAGATAAGCATTTCCTTACGCTATTGCGGGCTACTGTTGCTGCAATATATGCAGTTCTTATAGCAGCTTCCTTACTACCTATAATTATTAAAATTAAACCGATAAATGCAATAAGATTCTAAACTGCAACTAGAAAAGTAAATTTAATGCATTATACCGGTACATCTGCATGTAGTCAATATACTTATCATAAATCATATAAAATGATATTACATTAGAATTTTAATAAAGTAGATTAATATAATAACGTCTATAAGTTATATTACGCAATTTACCGATTGGTATTGCCTGAAATCGTATAGCTGACGACTCCATATTGGTTTTACAATTCCAACGGTGAAAGCGGTATTTTTGACGACATAATCGTATGCCTGCTTTTATCCCATTATCAATTAGTTCAGGTAAAATTGGGCACTTTTTGCAATGGCCAAATTGTGTTGTAGTTAGATCTAATAGTTTGCAAGGATTAAGAGATCCACTATCGATTGAGAGAGAAAGGAAATTTATTTTAAACAAGACAATATCTTGATTAAATTGTATATTGAATTACTTGATCAAATTTATTAATATAGAGTTTATAATATGCGGATATGTAATATATTCAGAATTCACCAGTAGCACAATTGCAGCAGCATTGGTTTTAAAACATTGCTGTAGTCTACTATAAATATATAATTAATGTCATTTCCTGGCAATTTAAATTTTACTGTTATAATTACTTTAAATTCGATTTTGTTTAATTTCAAAGGATATTTTATATAGGAGCATATACATTTTCTAAAGTTATTACATCTATTAATTAAATGATCTTGTAAAATTTTGTATAATTGGTTATTAAGTTATAGAAACAAATTTTGTCTCTTCTTTGACAAGGGTATATATCTATAGTAATTTGAACATTATTTCAAATGAAGCTTAATCAATTGGGTAAGTTTAATGTCTATTCAAAAAATGTATCTCTGAAATAAAGTTTTTACAATTTGAGAAATTAGAAAATATTGCATGGCTTTCTAACATAACTTGTAATAAAATAAGATAAAAATTTTGTACGTTAATAATATGAACTTTATTAACAGTAAGTCCTTTGTAAATTATTGACGCAATTTAAACAGAATCCGCAGACAGAGCTTACAGTGTTTTAAGAAATACAAAATACGAATTTTAAAACAATCTTTGTAGTTTTTAATGATCAATGGCGTTTATGATTTGATAAAATAGCTAATTACCTGGCATAGGGTAGAAATATGGCCAAAAAGAGCATATGATGAAGCTGATAAGAATGATATTGTTGATTATTAGTCATGATTCTTCCTGATCATTTAGTCAACAATGTCAAATCAGGTTATCAAGGAATGAATATCACGAGCGACCTAATGTTGAAATGGCGGTTTAAGAAATTAGCGATGCTATTTAAAGCTTAAGACATAAAGTCTGTCTTATTATTAATATTATGAATCATATAATTTTATGTGGGTGCTTTCGTTCATATCTAGTAGCATGTCAATGTAATTAAAATTTTGAATGTAGATGCTATTATAATTATTTATTGAGTTTATTAATGAATTGAAATTTCTTCCAACATGAATATTGTACAACTTGAGACTATGACAGTTTTCACCTGAAGTATCTTCAATTAACTCAATTTATCGAAAGGTTAAATAAAGCGAACTATTCTTTATCATTTGCGTACGCTTATATATATTCATAAATAAAAGTTTTACTACAATTAATATAAAGTCTATTTAGGGAAGTATCAGCCAATTAGCCAGGGAATTAGAAATTTATTATTACGAAGTAACTTAATACAATTACTGTAAAACATTATTGTTAACACTATTTACTATCAATCGAATAAGAAAATAATTAAATAGAACTAAATTTGGTTATTAATACTGATATTCAATATAAAATTAGTTCCTATAATGACAAAAAATAAAAAATAAATTCGATTGTTCTAAATTTACAATAAATCATAGATGGATCTATTACTGTTATATATTATTTCTGTTTTGATATGAACATTAGGTTAGCAATAAATCTAATATAGCTTTTGAAAAGACTATTGAACATAACTGATCTATTTCACTTAATTAAAATGTGGAAATACGGAGACCATTATTTATTAATTTTATTGTATCTGATGGTACTTAGACAAAAACAAAAATTATACTCTATTCTTATTCATTTTCTCCTATAGCTTCTAAATATAATGTATATCTCTATTGCTCAATGAACAGTACTTTATCCAGGACTATGCATATCAAATTTGCTATCAATTTATAAAGCATACAAATACACACAAAATTTAAGGCATTTATATATAAGAATAGAAAGAAAGAGAGAAATTTTAAGATGTAGGAATACATAAACGAGCAAATATAATATAGATATTAATATTAAATCTCTTCCTCATTTATTAAATAGTAATTTTTTAAGTGGATTTTAACATTCATTTTCGGCCTTGTAGTTTTTTTATTACATATAGATACAAATGTCAAGTTGATTGCTACTGTTTTTGTATAATTGGGTATTTAATATCTGGAAATGGGATTTCAATGTTATTATTAGCTGATAATTGAAATTATTTGTCTTTGCTGGAAGTTTAGATTTTCCGAGAATTAATGTTTTCGAAGATTATTTGCCTGAGTATTGGATAAAAATGGACCACAGTTGCTCAAAAAAGGAGATAATCAACAAATAACCAAATTATAGTGACTTTAAAAGATAGAATAATTTATAAGGATAATAAGGATAAAATGTCCATGGTAAAATGATATTCACAGAGATGTCTTAAAATGTGAATTTTCTGCATAGTATTAACTGCACATAAAGTTCAAAAACAAAACATATTTGAAAGCTTAAATATCTTGATAAATAGTTGAAAACTAGTACATAGAAAGTTACAGCATCGTAATACAGTTTATCCGTGTGCAAAGATATGATCAAAAATCAATTTAAAATGAATGTTAGTTTTATTACTCATGTCATACACGTAAATACGTAAATTTTACCGTATTTATATGATAATGCCAATTCGATAATTTTTCATCCATCTGAAGTAATCTTGAGTTATATAAATTTAAATACTCTATATGCAAAGTTAAATTATTTACTCTACCGCTAATACACTAAAATGAGAAAATTTAGAATTCTAAGAGAGTAAGTGAATAATATTCACACTTCTATTACATACATGTATTCTAATTTTTATTGATAGCTCGCCAAATTGATGACTACAAGTGCGTAAATTGAATAAAGATGAAAGTTTTATTTACATTAAATGATAGATAATTATCTTTAGATGTGCAGATTATTTAAAATTACTTAGCTATTAGCCTTAATTATGTTTCCACAGATGCGATATGAATATTTAAATGCTATGTCTAGCGGCGCTGCAACAAAACGAAAATCCACGTACAGATTTTCGATGTGATAGCTGTAATTAATATCTAATTAGGATTTTCTTAATCTCCCATTTAGTCTATACTTTGTACAATAGCTTTAAGTAATAATTAGTTTCAACCTTATTGCCCAGATACTATCTATACTGTAAAATCAACTTTGCAAATGAATGACCTACTGACCGTCTGATATTATTTGTAGTTGAATCAGCCTTTCATTTATAACATTTTACCATTCTGCTCTCATGCTACTATGCTTAATTAAATAAACTGAAATTCACCGTTGAATCGATAAAACATCTAAGATATGCGATTCATTGAGAGGTATTATCTCTCTATATTGTATGTACAGTATTCTGTCTCTTTGAAAAATTTCCGAAAACTCAAATAACAGGAACCAATTTTATACCCTTCAAATTATACCTTGCTACCTGATTGATCATTGGCTCATTTATATAATCCAACTAGTTACTACTTCGGATAACGTTGCTCGATTTTATGGACTATACCTGTACCAAAACTTATCAGGCCAATTTTTAAGCCTAATAGTGTGTTTTAATAAATTGTTTAGGTCATCAAATGATATCAGTTAACTTTATTATCCATTTGGCGAAGCGATAACTATCTTGAAATCTATCAAATAACTTGAAATGTATAGATACATTAGAATAATAGATTTAAAGAAAGATTTAGAGACACTGTAGAATATACTTCACTAATTACTGTCTATCTTATAATACAATCTCAGCTAGATATAAGAATCAAGTAGCACAAAATTCCCTAATACTGATTATGGCTTGAACTAACTCTATCAAAAGATTTGCCTTATATTAATGCTTTCCATATTGTAAAGGCCACTACCGTTCACCTTTATTTTTATTATGTGTTAATAGGAGATTGCTTGTTTTTTTAATTTTAGCTTTCGGTTACTTTATTTAAAGGCTGTAAATTAAGGAACTGACTTCTATTTTCGTTATTTTTGTTAATTATTAGCAGTAGTATTATACTATTGTATCTAATGCAATGTTACTGGTATAGAAACGTATAGAAATATGAATGAGTAACTAAAATGATAAATACAATGATAAATGATACTTAAGGTAATTAATTAGATCAAGGCATTGTATTTACGCTACAAGTCACTTATTAATATTTTTACTAGAATTCTGCGTTGTATTCAATTTCTTTTAAAAGTGTTATTTAACAATTGTGAATACGTAGGAATTAATATTAGTAATTAACTATTTCCTGCTAATAAGGTACATTTATGGATAAATAGTTCGTAAGCAAGATATAAAAGCACTTACTCTTATAACGTACTGCTATAGTACCATTAGTATTATTAAGTATAAATTTTATAATTTTGGACATTAAAATTTACTTAAGTAAAATAGGTCTTAAAATAGGACATTTATATATTTAGAAGATCCTTATGTATTAGCTGATGTACCGATACCTTACTGAGACTAAATATAGTAAAACTATTAATAGAGTCTTTTGATATTACGATAATGATTATATGTTTAATGTTATAGTCGCCTTATGTTGTTCTAGACAAGAGTCTTAGAAAAAGTGGGATAACATAGAAAAATCTATTTATTTATTTAGTAGAGTGATGAAAATCTAAATTAAGATATAGAGATAGCAATAATAGTATGTTTATGCACCGATGTTTTGTATATAACTAGGGTTTCTCTTAAAATTAACATAAGTTTTGTTAACGACTATAGTTCAAAACTTGACTTTGTGGCTTTAAGTTAACTTAAGTTTTTCTAGTTTCAACTACTGAGTTGTGACACTTACAAACTAAATTTCGTAATAAATGATTGTTTAGTGTTTTATGCTTATAGCTCGTCAAGTGATCCACCCACGCAGTATAAATTTAAAATAATTTGTTCCAAATTTACGATTTCTATACCTTTTTTATGCCATCATTAAAGAAAGCGGAAACAAATCAGCTGCTTTATGACTTTAATTGATAAAAATTAATAACGGCCTATTTGTATTTCTACTAACATCCAGTATGGTGGCTATATTTTTAGACTGCAGGTAAAAATTTAAAATATGACGAAATATATTATTATAGTACTATGAAGTGTCATTAGATAAAAATAGACACTGTCGTGTTATATATTAATAAATAATAATTATAATTAATGTAATGATTCTAATTACCGGAATCCAATAATAAACTAATCAATAGTAAAAAAATAAAGTGACCTAGATCGTTCGTTTGACTGTAAAGCTACAAGTTAAATTTCTTGCTCTGTTGTCTAGTCTAGGATTACGCAAAAAAAATTATCCACTCCCTTCTACTATGATTATTCATGGCATAAGTCAATGCTACTCTGTGTAAGTTAAGCTTTAACAAATATACCATTAATTAAAGAACATTAGTAATTGATGCGGTTCCGGTTACTTGCTGTGTGCTTTCTTACACAATTTAATGCAATAGTTCAAATATACGCTTTACCACAGTTCAGATGCTAGCAGTATTTGTGTATACTATTACGTACATTTACTACACTTAAACATTATTTATCTTTCCTCTAAGCACATGCTACAGCTATAATATCAGACAATTCATTAGAAAGATACAGGGAGTATGTTAATTTTGCATTTTTGAATCTATTTATCTATTTACATAACCTGTGTGTATAATTTATAATATCATACTGTTGTAATTATGCAATGACACGTGAATAAAATTGCAAAGTCAGTTCTTACTCTTGTAACATTAAGTAGGCTCAGACACATTTCTTTCTTAAATATTCAGTAATTATTTGAAAAGAATACAGTTTTACTGATTTAATAATGAAAACGCTAAGAAACATTTCATCATCAGTAATAAACTATATACTTTTACACCCCTTTACAGTTTAATTTTGATGCTAAATAAATTTATGAATTTGCACGATATGCTGAGATACTGCATTTAATATCATATTTGGCAAGGATGTTCAGCGTTCATCCAAATTTAACAGCTTTATTATCAAACCCGCTGGGAAAAGAATTCGTGATTGTATGATTTAAATAAAAAGTATCTATCATATTCTGAAAGATATTCAAAATCATAAAAAGGTTTTATATTAAGATTTAATGAAGTGCATCTATTGATGTTTAACTAGTGAAGGCCCTTCCATTTATGCTTTTTACATATAAAATTTGATTAGCTATTGTTTAATGGCTAGAAACTATTTACTGCTTTGATAGTAAATATGCTATATCAAGTGTAGCAAATTATTACTGCCTATCCAACGTTGTTTCGTACATTTATGTACTTGTTAGGTCAATCCCTAACATGATCATTGAAGATACTTGATATTTGATTGAATGAGTAATATAGCAGCCTATGTGTATGCTATTGATATGAAATAGACATATTTATTTTGTTTAGAATGTATTCAACTTACGTACTAGACATAGGATTGCTAACGCAGTAAAGTAAAGTCATTTCTTATTTACGAATTAAAGTTGCTAGTTTTGATTGTAACTATACTTATGATCACTGCTATTCAAGAAAGACCAATGCTTATGATTGATTTTTTTTAACTATCAATATCAACTAAAATTACATTTATGATCATAGAATAATAGTTACATTAAACTACGTTTTCCCAAAATCGATGAAAGATCAATTAAATAATATATACCAAAAGATGAAATAATGCTAGATTTGATTCTATAACTTATAAGATACGGATAAATTAGGCAACGTAGATCTTGCATTAGGGTTTGCTTAGACAGTTATTAATATCAATAATATCAAGCTTATTTAAAGTTTGTAAAAGAGCGTCGAAAGTTGATCGGCTTTAAACTTTCCATGACTGTATTACTGTGAAATTCAATAGAAGGAGGTACTACTGTATCGCTATTTCAAACTGATAATGAAATGAATTCTCAAAATAAAATATAATTTTCTCACTTACCCTTTAGACTCCTCTCTTATTTACGACTAGCACCTTCACATATGATTAGCTGTTTACATCAACACAATTATCGTTGACGGTTAAAATTGGCATTACTTTATTTTCGAGCTTGAAAAGAAATGCAAGACAATTTAATTCTTTGATATTGCTATTCTAGTCTTTTAATTGTTATAGTGGTCATTTACAAATAAGATTTGTCTGACGAATCCGATAGTAACCTAAATAACAACTAATAGCTTACTATAGCCTCAAGCAATCGTAAATGCGAATAAAGCTTTTAGCGAAATACGTTAAGTTTGTACTAGCTTTAATGACAACAATCAATCTCCAATCCTTCATCACAATATGTTCACAGACCCTTAATGATTAGAATTACAGTCTTCTCTCATAAGCAGCGGCTTTGTCTCTCATTCATGTTATAAATTTTAATTCTCAGACGTTATGTCAATAATAAACAAAAAAATGAACCATAATATATTATGGAATAATAAATACGCTAAAATTATACTTATTTACCTAAGCGTGATTTAACTGAGATAATGCGAATACATTATGCTATTTTTTTCTCGAGAGATTTTTTAAACAAGTTAATACCATAAAGTTGATTCTATTCTTAGAACTTGTCGTACGATATATTTAGTTTCTTATATTCATAGTAATAATTCAAAATGCTACCTTATTTTCTCTTTAATCGATAGTAAATAAGTCTAAATCTGATTATATTGGCATAGCATGTCTAAAGGAAGCTTTCGATTGCTTATACGAATTCTTTACTACCCTTAAAACAAAAATTTAGTGCATTTATAACTCACTATTTCATTAAGCTTCCTGGCAATGCGCATTCATTTATTTGCAGTTAACTGTCTATTAATATTTTCATTAGCGTAATGTCATCATTTCTGATTACTGAAATTAATAGAAAAAGATCATTATAATAACATTATGCTTTATAGTGCCTTTAAGTTATTGTTAATAAAACTGAAGGTTGAGAAAAGTGGTGTTAGCGCTTTAACATGAAAGCAAATATCGATTAAATGCCACACTATGTTGGTACATATAAGTTTGATTGATGAGAGCTTGATTAAAACTAAATTAGAAAGATTTTATCTTGATATCAAAGAGGAGATGGTGGTAGTAACTCCGTATACAATTAAGAATTAATCTCAGTGCGTACTATCTGTAGTCATAATAAAGCATTTGTAGTTAAGCTATCGTAATATTTACTTGTAGTAACTTACAATTCATAGCATATACGATTGCACAATTTAACCAATTATATTAATGTCATATTATAGAAAGCTCAGATGTTACCTATATATCGAAATCTATCATTATTGGATACGTAATAAATTGCTATTCATAAGAGGAGTATCCATTACTATCTATACCATTCAAGGATGGCTTCATTAACTAATATACTGGCACATATGTGTACAAAATAATCTCAGTCATCCAGATTATGAAAACTGCCGCTGACATTAAACGGCAAGGCTTACGTTAGAAAGTAATCAACTATATGTATATAAAAATTATCTGTGAGCTACCATACTGTATAGTTCGCTATAAAATTAAATTATAAAAAACTATACATAAATGATCTAGATCGAAAGTAATGTTTTGTGCTTTAACAAATATATTTCGTAACTAGTTTTGTTACTTGCTAAGTTGATTAAAAATCGTTAACGAAGTGCCAGTATTATAGTAAATAAAAACAAGCTTAATGGAATATAAGTAAGCTGTGTAATATAATTAATAATCTTATCTGTTTTTAATACGGAAGATAAATGTAAGATGTACCAAGTTAAATTACGCTATGTTCAGATCCAGACGATGATAACAGCACCAAGGACGGTGGGATAAAAAGCTTATATGTAAATGAATAGAGATAATGCGGGTAGGGTCGATTGATTTAATAAGCCCATAGATCAACTAAACAGTTAAGGTCATTAAATATGAATAGATAAAAGAAAAGAATATCAGTGACCTTTAAAGTTATTTTAATCAGCTATTTTTGCCATAGGCAAATCTTATATCAGCTGAATGATGAGTGGCATGGAACAGTAGGGTCGTTGTGCAACTTTATCAATTATAATTTAATATTACGTTAGAATTAAAACAAAGCCAAGTTCAATTGTAATTGCCATTACGATAATCTATACAATTAAAACGCGATTCTTTTCTTTAAATTAATCATTTTTTTTATTGGCCGTAATTTTAAAGCATCTAAGATTAAAACCTATTCGTAAAGGCACAAATTAATTAATTCTATCGCTTGACACGACTTTAATTAATCTCTAGTGGTAAATGATTTAATTTGCACCAAAACTACCATTTAGATACAAGAAATCGTTAAATAGCATCAGAATTGATGTTATGTAAAACCAGTAAACTTATTTATCAGCGCAATATCAAATATTGAATATCTGCAACAGCGAACTCTCTATGTTTTAGTACCCAGCATGAAATTTCATGTTTAAATGCTTACAAAAACAATTGAATCGATTGCAAAGCTGAGCATTTTAACATCACAAGGCTGATATTAGCTTCGCTAACAAATTTTCCGTTATAAGCTAAAATGGATTTTGCTATTATTAAAAGTGAAATATTGAATTATAAGCTATTGACCAAAGTAGAACTTTAAATCTTAACACTACCTGCACAAGTAACGCCCGTGGATATTTAAATTTCACTTTTACGATATATACGAGCATTCGTACAAATATATATATATATATAAATTCATGAACATTCTTCTGATTATTGCTATTGCAATGGTCATTTTGACCGATAAAAACCATTAACATCTGGAAAATGTCGTTATAAATTAGTATTATATTATGATGAGATTGTATAGCATGCCAATCTACAATTTTACGCAGGCGCTATACACTGACGAAAGACTGTTTTAAATTCTTACTTTCTGGTTGCATACGAAATCACCAAGCTGATCAAGTCCAGTAGATCCGGAAATAATATATCATATGGCTGGCTAATCTACAACCTTATGTCATGTACTCGAAGGTATTTTAATTTGATTTCTTTTTCTATACAATTTTAGCACGTCTTATCGAGCAATATATTTTTAACTTTTTTGATGTTAGTAGTAAATCTTGTCCACTTTCTTCAAATTGATCTTTAAGAATTCTGGTTTATCTCTTTCTTCTTCTTGAATTCTATCAGCCTTAATAGGAGATAAATATAAAAATGGAGTGGCTCAATCAAATACTGAAAGTCTTTTAGATAACATCTTGAATTTGTTTGCTAAAGTTCAAGAAACGATGGAATTGCTACGACTATCAAGATCAAATAATCACAAATGGAGTATTAGATAAAAGTAATTAATTCACTTTAAATTATCGCAAAAGGAGCACTAGCTGAGTAGATAAAAGGAATTGATAAAGTTCAAACTATCGTAAGAAAAGCTTTAGCTGATTAAATAAAAGGAATTTTAAATGAGAAAACAACGGTATATTGTATGTTACTTTATTGTATCCTTCTAAGTTTAACTATAACATGCTGAAAGAGGAATCGCCCTGATACCCGGAGGATCCTGTTAAGGTTATTGTCATAGTTTTGTTTTATACAGCAAGCTATTCATCTGGATTGTCCTGGCCAGCTTAATAAACTACTTATTTAGAGCTTTAGCTAAAATATCCTGAATAAACTATTACATAAATGTTTAATTAGTATCCATAAGCGAAAGCTTCGAAGGAGTTATGCCTAATAATGAATTTCGATGGGTAATTAGTTCCCTGATGCTTCATTAGTAATAGCTATCGTAGCCATGAAGAATTTTAACTTACTCGGAATCTTCATACCAACACTGTTACATGTGACATCATATTTCGGGCTCAATATTAGTCTACTAGTTATCCTCACACTAATACTAAGCTGAAATCACGTAACAAGGATTTATGTACCATTGAAAGATTTAAATTTATAAGAAGCTCTATCAAAATCTCCCTAGGATAAAGTCCTACTCCAAGAATGGCTTTATTGGAGTAGTATAGGTGCGACAGCTATGGTACATAATACCGTAATTTGTAAAGTTAAGAGAATTTCGAGATTAATTAGATTTAATGCTAATAGTTTTACAGTATTTATATAAAGTACTTCCGTGTACCACGTCTTAGATCTAGTGAAATTACTGTATGTAGGAAGTTTACCCTTTGAATACGGTTGGAGGGTAGGAATGCAAGATCTACAAGTATATTTTCAAGGATTCGAACGTTGATGGCATTTATCAGTTTCCTTGCGGCAATATATGCCGTATTTTAAGCTTTTCATCATTGCATCCTCTTATCAAGCGAATATTCATGCCCGATAATACTAAGAATCATTTTAGATATTTAATTAGGTCATTTCCTTATCGTAAATATTAATTTAATATCTTCGTCTGTGTATTTTGGTTAATTTCATACCGGTATTTAAAACTATAAACTCAAATTACGAAAGGTTATATAGCTGTTAAATAAGTATTATTAGAATCTGGGCACGGTTAGCGATTCTTACGATTAAGAATTTTTTCAACTGTCGCATTATATTTAATTCCAACCATTTACTACAGATTTAGCATACTAAAATTAATTAAAATTTGTCTTAAATTTAATTATTTTCGCCCATATCTGAAATTCTCCATTAGTTGTAAATTGTAATGCCGTCTGGTGATAGTAATTGATAAATTTTAAATTTGACAATGATTTGTCTGTACTGTTTAACGAAGTAAACTAGATGGCAAGACTATATTTATGAACTCATAGTTTCAGAATGATTAGCTCTATTTTTCGCATAAAAGTTAAAAATTGTTTCGTCCTAAAAAGAATACTATATTTTGTTTGTCTTGTATGAAGGTAAAAATGGAAATGTTTTGTTGCTTACCTCATCAACTTTTTTTGCCATTGCATTTAATTTGGCTGATAGTTCTAAATCGATATTATCATCATCAAGACTGTGCACTCTTCGCTGCCTTGATAAAACCATTTTCTTCCATTCGGGCGGCTTTTCTACTAAATCACCGCTAGAATGTATTTAAATCAAGTTATTCAGAATTAAATTGAAGTCGGTGATGGTTTAGTTTACTAATCAACGGGTATTGTTACAAGTAAATCTCTTCCTGTTATATCATATTGATTGTTAATGGATCAAGTATATTTAGTTAAACTATCAAAATAAACGAATCTAAGACAAGCTGCTATTTAAGATTAAATGAATCAAAAATCGAGTTACTGCGAGTAAGTAACTAAATGACAAAATTTTAAGTTTCTGATGTTTGCTCATTAGCCCTTCACCAATCATATTTAATAACAGTTTATTAACTTACGCTTTACTGCCAATGCTAATATCGCGTGCGATTAACTCCGAATTTTTAGTCAGATCGATATGATTTGGGTCAGCATGCCAACCCTATAGATGATATTAACATTCAATTGAATTGCTGAAAAACATTTGATTATGTTTATTCTATGTTAATATCGACTTAATGTAATGATTTGATCATTTGGCCAATAAATTAAAAGATATTGATTAACTACTGCTACATTATCAGGATTAAATAGGCCATATGTACTATACTTGCATATGAAAAGTAAATAAACAATTGGCACTGTTTAGTCAACAAAGTAGGAACGATGCTATTTTATTAGAATTAATAAATAGGGAAACTTTCTCTTGACAAAGATGTTAATCTATAATTATAAAATAGTACTCTAGCCATTCTATGTGTTAGATCTGAGTAGTTCAGAACTTTATAACTGATGTAAGCTAATAGGGGCTATGTCTAAGATTGCAAGGATAAATTTCATATCGTGGAAATTTTTATCTCTTACCTCCGACAACGATCTAGTTTTGGCCTTCAACTTGCCTTTCTTTCTACTATCGCCATCTACTGTCTAAGAAAGAAGATTGGATAGTTGAAATTTAGCTTACTGATTAAAGAGAAACATTGTACAATTATTTAGTCACATATATCGCGATCTGATTTATTCCTGATACAAAAGCCACAAGAATAAGGAATGAAGAGCTCAAGAAAAGTCAATTTTAAAATTACAGCATTTTTAGCATTCAAAAGCAGTCTGTCGATCAAATAATACATAGAATGGATTTCAAATGCAATCGAAGTTCTAGTTAATACTTTTCTCACTAGCCTAGGTGTATTAATTGATGCGGATAGAATGATTTTTTGACAGCAGATTACCAAAAGCATACAAGACCTTGTCTTTCATCTTAGTTTTAAGTCTTTTTCTCAAAAGTTTAAAGGTAAAGAAAGCTGCTAAGCGGAAAAGATTTATTTTGCAGTCTAAGCAGCACGAATGCTTAAATAATCTAGCAATAAACTCTAATCATCCTATGAAAATCATATCCATGTTGTCGTTAACGTCGTTCATCGGGTGTTTTATTGGCATTTTGGGCAGTTAAATACAGTAAATTGTGATTATTAATTAATTATCACGGCAAGCTACAGTCTCAATTTGATATAATAGCAAAATTTTTCGTACGATGCAATCCCAAACAGTAGCTTCTCCTTATCTAAATCAATCTTAGCAAAGCTAGCATCCACGTACCAAAGATTTCTATTCTATGCATTACTAGTTTAAAATTACTTCAAGATATCGCAGAGTACAGACAACTATATCAATAAGTTCAAAAAATATTGATCCACCAAATCCTAGGAAGTATGAACCTACCTCAACATAGTTTGACGGAGCTAAACCAATTTCTTTTGTATCGATTCGTTTTAAAGCAACCCATTCGTCAGTAAGATGGTCCACATATAAAAATCGATCACCTTGTTGAAAGCTTAACATGTTTAATTCTTCGCCATCGTACGGATTTTGATAGTCAAATTTAGCTACGTAGACCTTTCTATCCATTTTTCTTTATCGATTTGCTTGTACAACAACATGCGTCAATAAAAGATCATGTTATGATGCAGACGATAATAATCTATACGATCTGATGCTATGATTGAATATACCACCTTGTTCCCAGCCTTTTTTCTTTCAAGAAACTAGCCATATGAAGAATAGCATCTATTCTTGGTCATGCCCTTCTCTCCACTTCTACTCCAATCGTTAAGTAGAGTCGATAGATGAATAACTATGGAACAATAACATCGCGACGATCATAATAATTAAAGTATTTTCCACTTGGATAGGCTATTATATCGGGAGAGATTTTATTGTTGAAGGGCAAATGAGCTGATTGGTTGTTAAAGTAATTCAACAATAATCTTATCTATTATTCGGCCGATATGATATTGATTTAACCATACGGTAACAATAGATCATGATTAATTTTATTGTTATGACTGTTGGGATCTTGTGATCAGCACCTTATTTGTCTACAAATCTTGACATTTTCTTATTGTATAATTTAGAAATCACTTTTTTGTTCTATAACATCTGTACCTCGCGAACAAAATCAGACTCTTTGTATTTCATTTAGAGAGCACAAAATCAAATTTTATTTTCTCATCTTACTTCAAATTTAATATACGAATATTCTTCCTTATTGTATAAAATAGAAGATAAAAGTTGGACTGTTTTTCAACTGTTCGTCAGAATACAGATTAATTTTTTGATTAGAAATACGTTGAAGTACAGTTTTTAGTGTGTATAAGTCAGAAATAAATTCATTTATTAGCATGATCTTTATAGATAAAAGAAAAATCAAATAACATACCGCTTCTAGCTGGATGCGCCAATAGCTCTCATTTTCTATCAAATACAAACAACATTAGTAATTTATTCTGTATACATCTGAAAAAGTAGTATGTATTTCGTATGGTAATAGAAAATGATAGCAATAGTTTTAAGGTAATTATTCTCCTTCTGATAGATCATATGAAAATGATAGGCTATTTATAAATCATTAAACTCGAAAATTTTAGATCTTTAAGTAACAGAGAAAACGATAAAGCGTATATGTTGTCTTAGTAAGCTGTAAAAGTGATATTATTCATAAATAACAGCAATAGCATCTCTATAATACTCAAAAACTATCAACCCTCCGCAAGTAGCGGAGTCGTAGAACGTTGATAACGTGTAAGATTTAAAGATTAGTATCAAAAATGCAAGTTTAAAGCCAAAAAGAAAATATATCTTAAGAAAATTAAATATTATTATAAATAGAAAAGTAATTAATCGTATGATCTTTCAGCCATGCATGCCTGTTTACAGACATAAAGCTAAGCCAGATTCAAATTACTGTTAGATATCTTAAAATTATTATTACGATCCTCCAGAAATGACTTATTATTTATAATATTATGATTACAAACCTGATATTATTTATCAGAGATTTCATTTCTGTTCTATGGTGTAATTATAACTTTACTGATATATAGGTAGCTCCAATATGTGTAAAATGAAATTACTCTTTTTATTAATAGAAGATGTAGGATATCTATCGCAGGGTTATAGTGAGATTTACAAAAGTAATTTGTAAGATGTAGAAATTTTACGTCAGATACGCTAATTTCGAAATCAATCGAATTTACGATTTAGTTGAAGAGCTTCTTCTAATTTTTTAAAGACTTAAAAGTAATTTTTGATGATTTTAAAATATAACTATGATTGTAAAAAATATTTTGAGGACAGAATAATATATATTATAAACTCCACTATTTTCAGAAATATCTAAGACTTCACTCTAGTCAAAACTGTATATGAATGTACAGTAGGCGCACATTAAAAGTTTTATCTTCGTAAAAACATTCTTATGGGTTTTATCTTCGTAAATACATTCTTATGGGTTATTCGTACCCTGGACTTCATGAAATTGTATTTCAATATTAATTTAGATTATACGTGGAGTACAGACTGTAATAATCATATTATACGCAAAATCAACATAAATTATATAAACAATAGGAAAGTCGGTTGTTGACAACGCTATTCGTTTTCTTCTACTTTCACCACCCACTACCTGATTACAATTTAATAATAAAATCTATTTACTTTATGTCAATACTACCCGTATATTAATAATCGTTAAACATTGAAATCTTACTGTATAACTTTGAATTATAGTTCAATATTGCTCACCGTATAATAACCAAGTATCCAATTCTTTATTTAGTTTTTAGATGTACATGAAAACAAAGAGAAAATGGCCATGATCTTCGACGATAATAAAGTTCGTAGATGTGATTAAAATCAGACCAAATAATAGGTTTAAAAATTTTATTCAATGAAATGATTTAAACTATTTAAATAGTTTATTAGTTGTGATAAAGATAGATATAAGGTTTTAATTCAATATTTTGTAATAAAAGAAATGAAGATTGATTTCTCAACCGCTAATGTAGTGCATAATGGCTATTACTTTACAGAAAACTAAGACAATAAAAACTAATAGCCTTTGATCGATCTGTCATACGATTTGCTCATGATTTTATTCCTACAGGCTGGATAAATCAACTATGATAGAAAAACAAAGATAATTTATCATTTTAATTAGGAACTAACCATGTGATGTGAACTCAGCTATGCATGGCATTTAGCCTAGTTAAAAACGGGAAGAGACTGCGCAAATTGTATGTAAACTGTTAGGGTTCATGAATTAAATTTTTCCAATAAATTAACTATGATACAAAAATTAATCCATTGCGTTTATGTAGCAAATATATATCTATGAGTCAATAATAATTTATACCCATTTATTGATGATATTTGGGCTATCTGATCGATTTTATTGCCTGATTTCTACGGATCAGAATTATTGCAGAGCAGTAAATTACGGATTATTTAAAGTCATAGCCGTGATGAATATCAGTAATTTTATTCCTTTTCCTGTACATGCATTTATTAGAACGATTTATTAGAGCTTCCACGAATTAGCTATGACCAGGAAATGATCACTCGTAATCTTTACATCCTAGAAATTTGGCTTTAGGTGACAAAGACGTGACTAATTATTTATTCATGATTCTTCTAACGCCACATCTTATTTCGCATAGCTTTCAGCTGGTATCATGCATTATTCTATGGCTAGACTAGTTTGACATAATTATAATATCAATTAGATAAAATACAATTTCCTTTAAATCTTAAAAAACGCTTGTGAGAAATTATCGTTTCCCTATATTATTTCTAGACATTGTGATTATTTTTGACAAGTATTATCCCATCTGGTCTCGTACAGAACATAAGGAAAATTTTCGTGTAAACGTATCACAAGACGATTTTCCTATTCTTGTCTTTATATAACAGCGCCATTTTCCTATAAATCTAGGAAACTTTTTTCATGAGCTAATCTATTGGAGGCAACGCAATTTCTAATAAATAATTAGACAAAAATTGTAGGTCATCGCAGTTATACAAGTCTTACCTACAAAGAAACAAGTATGGAATATCGACGATGAATAGCTAATAAAGTAACATAATTGTACGAATAGTCTACAGTTATTAATAACAAACTTTCACCATATTCTAAATACAATTATTCATTCACAGATGATACAAGAAATCTTATTATTTATTGTCTTTGCTGTATTTGCAAGACGTGCTTGATATCTTTAAAACTTCTTTTCAATTATAATTCTGTTCGGTATAAAATGATTGTAAGAAATATGCTCATGCTATACTTTTTGTATACGAGAATACGCGTATACTAAGTCAAGTTTACTGAGTAGGCATTTTATAAAGTGAAGCAGGTCAGATGGCAACTTTATAAAAAAGATATCTAATTGATCATAATTATTGTCTAAAGTCACTAAGAATGTTTATAAAATTACCTTCAAAAAAATATTTTATAAATTAACTATCGACTTTTTTGTAATTTTACAAAATTACCATCCAATTGATTGTTTTATAAAGTCACTAAGAACGCTTATAAAATCGTCTATGAAAAAAATATGTTTCATAAATTAGCTATTAACTTCTTAGTAACATGTCAAATTGAATGGTTATTTTATGAATTGTAAAGACGACCTGATTTACTTTTCAAAATAATGACAGACTTGGTTATTTTATAACACGACTAGTTATCTCTTTAATATTAGCAATGATTTAATGACTTTATACAATAGTTTATTACTTTGTTAAATTATTGGCTTAGTGAATTTGACCTAGCATATATATTATATCGTACTTATATTAAATTTTAAAGAGGTATTTGCTCGACAGCAAAATAAGGGTACGCTACATTCATGTGACAGAATCCCGTTTTAGAAATAAAAATTCAAGCCATTATCTAGTGAAGTATTATATAATAAATTCTTAATGACCTTTTACTATAATTCTTATAAGTTTATTTGTGCCAGACTAGAAAATGAGACGGTCACAATTGCTGCAAATTTAACGGAATTATCACTTTAAGGTAGATTAGTGAGCCTTAACTGTTTTTCTTCAAGTTGATTTTAGAAATTAAGCCTCTATTAAAGTGATGAAAATGTAAGCAGTATCTTAAAGTAGGAGTCTTACACTCAAGTATTTCCCACTAGGTTAGATACCTTATCATATAGTAAATATGTGTAATACTGCGGTAGTAATAATGTCAGAATTATAAAAAAAGCTGACTAATAATAAATGTTACGACTTAAGCGCTTTTCATGTTACAAGTTATGATAAAAGTTTCAGCTTACGGTATCATGATTAAAACATCAAATAAAGGACGACAATAGTAGAGACTAGATCAAATAAATTAATAACTTTTATTTTAATTATGATATTTTATTTAATTAATTAAATCTTTTGCAACAGTATTCTTTGCAGTCAAAATATACCAGTAATTTCGTGGACATAATTGCCAGATATACAGCTATATACGAATTTAAAATACTTCCACAAATGCAAATCTACAGTATAATTGTAAAATGATGCAAATCTATGATTTACGGCACTTTTCACAATTAAGCTATAAATTTAAATTTTTATTATGGCCGTCATTATATAAATATCAATTAAGCTATTATTAGCATTATTTGAAAATGTTCGGGTATATCACAAGCAAAGAATATAGATAGCGCAAGAATTGGACAAAATGTAAATATCTGCAGCTGCTTTAACATTTGAAATTAAACATTTTATCAGCAGCCTTGGAGACTGTCAAGCCTACAGCAAGATTTGCACGATGCATATATGTTTACTGTTCACATTTTTATGCGTGTTTACGCAAACCTGAAAGTATAGCTAAGCTTGATAAACAGCAGGGCCAATGTTCAGCAAATCATAAAAACGACAGCCGATATTGCTCTTTAACGTGAGACAAAGCTTAAATTATTTTCACGATTATTATATTATACGAAATTAATAGGTTTTAGAAATATTGGAAGGTAAAGTATAATCTGAAAGATTATATTTCATCTTGATGTCAGATACTGTACTAACAGGAGCGACCGTACTTGTAGATTTTCCCATTCTCGGCTTAAAAAATGCGTCTTTAAAGACCTGCGTTGCAATCGTATAAATGACAGGATTCATTGCCGAATTTAATGGAAGCACAAACACCGCTATCCAAGCAATTGTTTCACGAGGTACATGGATTTTAAACAATGCTAAGAAAGTAATGGCAATGATAGGTAACCAACAGCACAAGTTAGTACCGATGACTAGGATCATTTTAACTGTTACAACACGATCTTGTCTAGCACTTCTATGACTCATCACCTTTCTGGTTTTTAACTTAATCATAAGAGCTAAATAAGCTAGCAAAATAAACATGCAAGCAATTAGATTGACAACGGTAATAACGCTAATGGAATATTGCCAACCTGTACCATCGACTTGATTAGAAAAGTGGAAAGGCAGGCAAACACTTGATCGTCCATAGAAATTTCTGAAATATGGAATACCAGGTAGTAATGGTATACCAATGGTTACAATAACGATTAGCCAACCCCAAAAGATTGCCTTTCTAGCGGTAGATAAATTAATTCGATAAGGGCTATATGGACTGATAATGCATATCAGTCGGTCGACAGTGATGGCGGTCAAAATATATACGGACATTTGGCAAGATAACGTGGCTAAAAATCCAGCAAAGTGACAGAGTGGACTCTTCCTCCAATAATCATCATAATGGCTATATTTCTTACGGTAATAGATATCGGTTGATCCAATGATGATCAAGTAAATTGCCATCATTAAATCTGCAATTGCCAGTGCATCTACAAATAGAACGTTTACAGATTCAGCATTACCCATAAAAAATGTTACCAGTTTTCGAAAATAAGATTGTTCAGCCATGGAATTTTTATTTTGATGCTTTAATCTCCATATTAGTACAAACAAGTTGCCAACTAGGGCAATAATTCCTACAATCCATATTGATGCTCTTAAAATTGTATTGGCCATAAGATCAGCGCAGTTGGAAATAACATTAAAGGGTGGAAGGCATGTTTGTGCAGTCGCTATACAACAAAATGAGTAATGACTGGTAACCCTGTAGCAGGAAAGGGTAGAATTACATTTTTATCGGTATTGCTAAAAAATGGTTATAAGGTTATATGATTGTCACGGTACGCCGTTACTAATTAAGTAACTGTAAATTAATGAATGCTTATGAATAGATAAGATAAGGTTATGTGCTATGTTTTAATGCGCTTGTAGCTGATAATAGGATGGTAGAAATGAGATAAAATAGAAGTTGTTAGCTGTTAATTTACTGTAGGTTTATAAGGTGTGTTAATCTCTAAAAATTGAGCTGTATATGGACGAAGGTTAAGCGTCTTAACACCTGATAGCTTGTAGCTATCTAAATCTGAGAATATCGACATGTATATTTAGTAATGGTATTATACTAATTAATGTAACTTATAAAGCATGAATTCTCACTCGTTAATATTGGGATTCACTGTAGAAACCTATTTAAGCGCGTGTGTTTGTAGAATAAAGTAAGTAATTGCTTAAGAAACGGCAAGACTCATATCGTGAAGAATAGTGTAATAATTAGTCAGTTGTCTGTGGAGATCAGCCGAGAAATCGAGTTCTCAAATACTTCTCTCATAGAAACTGAAAGTACTGGGAGAAATAGCCCAAGTTTTAAGTAACTACACTAGAGTTCTTTACTTTCCTTTGCCACAAGTGAGGGTTGTGACAATGATGGAACACTATCGCGGTAGCTTACTGTAATTAATATCATTATAATGTTGAATATTTTAGTAATGTATGGGGGTATGATCGTGATAATGTTTACAATATCCAGTAATAACTTACAATAGGGAAAGATTTAAACCAACAAATGGTTGAGTTGCAGTAATTTCGATGTTATTTCCTTGCAAATACCTATGCCCACATTTTGAGCGGTTATGGTTATATTACAATGTTCGAAAGAAGTTATCCACCAGCGCTAAAAACTTTTATTTCTTTACCGTACTCTATATCATCTTATTAAATAAGAATCATGATATTGAAATATTCAGACATCACTGGTCAACTTACAGTGTACGCAAAGAATTTTTCAAGCCAGCAAATGTGAAATCAGTCAAAGACTTGATTCGGTTCATGGATAAATCCCTGCAATGTACGCTTCATTTTATTAATAAAAGATTTTTAGTCATAGAAAATGTAAGTTCGGCCACGGTTACGCTTACAATTGTTTTAGATGTTTTAAACTTTGAAAGCATTTATCTGGTATGGAAGTAAAATTATTGTTGGATAGTATTCTATAAATGAAGGAGAGTAGTGCATTATTTTAATAGCAGAATTATCATGGAAATTTTTCAGTAAAAGTTAAAAAAATGGAGCGCATTAGTTTATTTTTGAAGTGAGAAAATATCTCTTACAGGGTCATTAATAGCGGGGAGTCTTCGAATTGAGCGCATTCAAGCAGATTTAATAAATTACCGCTTAAATCCCTGATAATACAAATTTAAATCAGTATTAGCTATTGCTGCGCTAATTAAATAAAGATAGAATAATATTTTAAATTCTGAAAATCTTCAGTTCTGATCGAATCCGTATAATACTTCCGTTTTGGAATTTTTCATAAAACAGTAATAAAACTTTTGTAAATAGCTTTCATTATCAATGCGATTATATAGGCTCCATATAGTTATTCATTACTGACGTTAAATACAGTATAAATGGATAAATCTTTTTATGACGACTTTCTTGTAATTGAATGATTAGTTGATATAGTTATATTTCTATTAAACGTTTTAAGGATTGCGTAGCTCTGATATCTTCTTTCTAACGGGGTTATAATCATTTTAGCAAAGGAGATATATATCATATTTTAACTACTTACAAGACTAACAGGGGCTGATGATCAGTTAAGATCCCTTTAATAGATGATAAGGATTGCTTACTTAAATTCCTATATGCAAGTAACAGTAAAAAAGGTTAGGTATAATTATGATAATCTTGCTTTAGTCACAACTTAAAGATCAACTTACAAGAGAATAAAATGCTTAGAATTAATTGCGGAGCCACTAAATTGCTCAATGGTATTATTTTCGAGATACCTAATTTGATAGGTATAAATATAGATAGCTCAATATAGATGAAACAAAAAATATCACTTTATCCCATTAAATCGTAATACTGCCAAATATTATTAAAATTATATCAGTTGCATCAATTACATACAGAGATCTTAAATTCGGTAAGGCAGTATCATTTCCACTTTTGTAGAAAGATTTTATTTGATTACTGTTTAAATTGCTAAAACAAGCAAGATTAAATAAATACCAATGGCTTTAAACGTGAGTAAAGTTAAGCAATTCAGTGAAAATCGTAGGTAAAGAATTAAAGACATAATGTCATTTATTTTGTAGACTTTTAAAAGTTAAAAATAGTCTCTGCTAACAGTGAATATAAAAATTTTAGGGATTGAAAGACACTTGTATCTATCTTGTTAATCCTGTTTGAACTTAAATCTCTGCAACAGAAATATTTCATATTAATGATAGGCCTGTATACATTTATGGTTGGAGGTTGTATTGATGTTACAAATTCTAAGTACTGTGGAATTAATAATCAAAGGGCTATGACAAACACGATCTTACAAAAATCCAAGCTGGTTAAGATGGATAAAATCATTCTTTTTTAAAGTCACCAAATGATTCCCTTTCAAAATACTGCATTATGACGAAAACATGATTCACTAGATATTCTAGCTAATTAGATTCTAAATCCTGATATCAAAGCTCTTAGGTTAAAGGCATGCTTTTGATGAAAAGAAGGATGCTATTCAAAGCGATATTAACTCACAGTTGCTTAATTGTACTTGGTATATCTGGTATATGATCATAATTGGCATAGCTACAGTCAATAATGTAATCTCGGCACTTACACCTTTCTTGACATTTAAATTTGGCTATCAAGTACAGTTGTATCATTAGTAATAATATCTATACAATTACTATTATTATTTTTGGATAGTCATGCATATCCTTACGACATTGCATCTCATCCCAGCCATTTTCACAGTCAGATTTGCCGTTGCAAACGCTATTCCAGTTTATATAGTGGCCATTTCTACATTGAAACAGCTCATTATTTAAGGCTGATCCTGTAAACAAATAATAGTCTAAAATTTATAAACCATTAAAAATGTTTGTTTCTTCTACATGGAAAATTTAAACCGCTTACACAACCAGCATTAGTACTTTAAAGTTATCATAGTCCCGTAAATTCTATTGTTGATTTCGGCAAAACTTACTGATATGTACAGTATTGTAAAAAAATAAGTAATTACAATTATAAAGTAAGTTAAATGAGCATGTGAAATTTAATATTAATATGTAATCGTAAGTAACTCTTAATATGACTGTGTAAGATTTCACTAAGTGAGACGGTATAGCCTACATCATAGCCCTAAACTTAGCTAGAGAAATTCGCATAATCTGATGGCATATTATGTTATTATCGGAAGCATATAAGTACAGGTTGATAAATAAAAAGATTAATTTTTACCAGATACTCATTGAGTAATAATCGTAAAATAATAACATAGATACATAGCACTTACTACACATCTTAGCTTGAGAATCATCTTTACATTCATAAAGCGTTGTACATCGCCCAGTTAGCGGAACACATTCTCCGCTATCACATTTGTACTCTGATTTTAAACAAGTTACATTACCTATATGATAGCAATAGAGGTATGCTAAAATATCTACCACAATTATAACATCACATACACAATTAATACAATATTGAATAATGTCCTCGATAGAGTGATAACTAGAATTAATATTAAAATTTTTACCACATATATATTCATCTGAATGATCTTGGCAATCATTGATCCCATTGCAACGTTTACTGTGTTGGATACATTCTCCTGTAAAGCAAGTAAAATTATCACCTTGGCACCGTTCATACAAGGTTGAAATCTGATAGAATCCAATGAAACCAGTTGCCGATGATTGTCGTTTCCTTGAACGAAAATGAATTAGCATATTATTAGATGTCGACTTAATTTCTTTTGGTATTTCTTTGCCGCAAAATTGCCCTATAGTTGGCGATGATCGCTGTGGTCCATCGTAAACGAGCAAATATTCAATACTACAACTAGGCGATTCTGGGATATAAAATCGTTGTAATGACAGAATGATTTGATTGCCCGGGGGTACAGTAATCTTATAGGAGCATTCCGAATTTGGTGGGTAGGAATTGGGATATCCATAGGATTTGATTACTCCTTGAATTTTTTGGAAACGATGATTACACGTTGTTGTGTTGATATTTCCAAGATCTAAATTTAAGATGATTAACGTTTTGTAAATATTTTAGTATATTCTACTGTAAAAGAAACTGTAATTATAACAAGAATAGAAAAATTTATAGAACTACAATTATTTTTTATAATTTGAAGCCTGATGAAGATACAGACGTGTCGATATTGTGATAAACAGCTAAGATAAGATAGTGATCGACTTAACACGGTAAGGTAATTATAAATGTAAATCTATACTGGTATAGTAACTAATACATTGGTTAAGTAAATATCTACGGTACCGCAATTAATTTCATCCGTGTTATCAACGCAATCTGTATTTCCATCGCACTGAAGAGAATCAGCGAAACATGTTCCATCTTTACACATCTGGCTGTAGGTTGAGCAAGAGTGATAAACTGGACAAATTTTATAATCAGAAGAGTTGTTAATCATTAACTTATCAATTATAGAGACAAAAAAGTACAAAACATTAACTAATAATTGTCTGGTGTAGAGCCTACGGGTCAATATCATGCTAGCAGATATCTTATTACCTTTGCTACTGATATAATCTACGTAAAAGTAGCTGTTAAAGAGTGCCACAGGCTCAAAAATAATTAAAACTTTGGATTTACTAGTTCTGATTTTGGTCAATTGAATTCTGTTGTACAATTTTTGTATAGTTTCATCGAATTCATTTAGTCCACTTTTGATTACTAAAGATCCACCAGGTACATTTCCGTGCAGTGTTAATGAAACCTGATAACCTCCAGGTACTGTTATAAGAAAGTGTCGTTTCCCAACGCCAAAATAATAATCCGGATATCCAGGTGATTTTATTGTGCCATTCAAATTCGTAAAAGTTTCTTGCATAACTGAAAAGTAAGAACATGCATACAATAAAGTTCAAAGATGAGTGCCTACTCTTCTTTAATTCTCATATGATATTTGTAAAATAGAGAACTTGAAAGGTTTATATTAAATTTATCATTTGCAAGCTATCGATGTCCTACATTTAAAGCGAAATTTGATCGTTTTAGCCGGCAATCATTTCGAAAAGATTTGAAATGATTGTTTACGAGTACGAAATATGTCAAAATTTATTGATTACAATACATTCAAATTAGTTATACTAATCATATATAAAGCTGATTGCCTTTACATCAAGATGATATTGACATTGTGGCGACTATTTTGAAAAGTTATATTAAAGTAAGCGGAATAATGTAAAATTACCTACGATAAGAAACTCATTATCGTATGCTATATCTTAATGAAGCTAATTTATGTAGAATTACATTATCATTTTAGCTTAAATTACTTGGTAATCTTTTATATCGACCATAAAATCGTAACGGTTCGTTGTTGGAATATGACCTAAATGTTAATGCAAATTTTCCTCCAGACAAATAAATTGGAGCTGGATTAGAGCTACCACATATTTGAACTGGCTTATCGTTTACTTTTGCGACAGATAGATAACTTTGATTACAAGGAAAGTTCTCTAATTGAGTTTTCTTTCCAGCATCAAATAGTTGAAATTTGATCATGATAGTTTCATTTTCTGGAATGGCGACATCATAGCTGCAGTAGATCATTCCTTGATAATACTTAGGATAATCAGGTGAAGAAATATCGCCGTCGTTGTCGAAAGTATACTTAGGACATTGTTGCAGAACTAATTGCAATAAAATCAATTTATTTTTTATCTTCAAAAAGTAGCGTAATTACGTTTCGTTAAAATAAAATGATACAGAGCTATTAAATGGCTGTTTCTAATCTGTATTAGGAACGCTATTAAATATTAACTAACTACAATTCTTACTTGCATCTGTGGTGTAAAAGATTATAAAACCTCTACCGGTAACAGATAAATCCGAATGAAATTGAATTACTGTATGCAGACTTGGAATTCGAAAAGGGTTCCAATACTGCTTGGAGCCACACAAAGTAGTAACATGATCTTGCGAAATATTGAATCGAACAAAATCATAACTGCACAATCTTGAATATTCTAACGAGAGAAATTCGAAAAATAGGAGTAAGCTTTCACTTTTATTTCTATAACTAATATCGATGTTGTATAAGCAGTCCATGGAATATGGATATTTGTTAGGGTAACGAGGTGAGACAATGCTTCCAAGTTGAGCATCCAAAGATTGGCGACATAACATTTGCCCTATAGATTAAGAGATATTAATTCTGCTGTTGACAAGACTATCTAAAAACCCTTATTGATTTATTATGCATATAGTATAGCATGCACCATATAAGTACGGCAGCGACAATTAAAAGTCACAAAACTATACCTGTTTTGAAAGATATCTTATAGCCTTTATAGGAATACAAGCTATCTGATGAAAATTTGATTAATATCTCATTCGTAGCACTTTCCAGAGTGATTGGTTGGCCATAAATATCTCCGCAGTAAAGTATCCGTTCTACTTTATTAAATTTAGGATTTAAAATCGTGAGTACGTCAGTGGCACATTGATGATTATAAGATGATTGCAATTGAAGATCTTCAATAGTTATACTAATAGTGTAGCCAGAATCAACTCTCAGCAAGTACGCACAGCGCAAGTTGTTAGGATAAGGTTGGGGATAATTAGGTGAAGTAATATAGCCATTACTTGCTTGAATAGATACGGAGCAGTTTGCTGAATATTCTAGAAAAATGAAATACGCGTATGCTCGAAGATATCAAGTAATGTGTCATGTTCCGTTATTTATTTCTAATGTAATGACTAACGTTAGTATTATATCATTATAAGGATTTAGATATGGTTCTTTATATGGTGCTATGGTCTTAAATTAGTAATCTGTATTTAAATATGACGACATAAATAGACAATATTTAAGGCTGTGTAGGCTAAGAGGTACAGAGAGCTAGCGTAGATTTATTGATTAGATTTGATCTTCTTATTCGTTAGTGACACATTGGACGTGATTTAGTTTCATGTCCAGCTACTTGCTGATAACTTCCGAATTTAACTCAATAAATTAAATATTTTAATGGATATATAAGTTAGGTCATTATTGATTACTAAATCTCAACATAATGCATTATAAGTTAGCGAAAGTATCTATTTACAGCAATTTTGGACTGCATCTTGTTATTAATAAAATTGTAAAATTGAATTTAGGATTATTCAGCTTAACTTGGTATTAAGTGTTAACTTATTCTACAGTGAATAAGAAGTATAGTGAGTTATAAGTAATGAGATCCATTTCATTATCCCTAGCATAATTAATAACAACTTTACAATATCATATGAGTCTCTCTCATATAAAAACAGATCTGAATACTATAATGTAGTTCAAATTTCATTCAAAAATTTTAATATGATATTTTTTCTTGCGGTTACTTGATATTTCCTAGATAATCGTAGGCATTAACTGTTAAATTTTAAAACTATAAACCACATACTATTCAACTGCTTGAGTTACTATTAATTTTAATTAAACGATACCGTAATACATCTCTACATCGTGGTATTTTAAGCTGGTAAATTCAACTAAATGCTAGTATATATTGATTGGAGATTCAAATAAGCGCGACATTATTTTGATATCCACAACAGGAAGGCGCATCAGAAAGTCGTTTAAGGAACTTTAAACTAATAATAATACTTATAATTTCCTTCTTACCACAATCTAGTTCATCTGTCCAGTCATAGCAGTCATATTTACCATTACAGACAACAGCATTAGGAACACACATTTCAATCGAAGCACATGAGAAATAGTTTTCCAGACATACAGTATTATCGTCTGTGTCTTGAAAAATTGGGTAAAATTACAGTATTTCAAATCAATGGTGAGTTTAATCATTAGCGAATATTTTTTCAGCACGATTTAATTAATATTGTTATGTTTAATTAATTTATGAAGTGAAATACTAACTTGAAAAGTATCAGCTATAGAAATTATCGGGTTAGTTGTTAAAATTTTCAATTTATACAGCCATTGCCGATATAATTTAAGATGAATTATGGTTAAATCTTTATAAATTAAAATTGAGCTATTTTATACACTCAGTATGATATTCTAGCTATATGGGCTACTGCTATATCGGTAAATTTTGCAAATAAAAATGGGGAAGATTGATTATTGCCTTGTCTCTTACTTCCTATTTAGAGTTACTTGATGAATATTAGATAATTTCGTAGCATAGTCTAGAATAATCTTATCTAAAGTACCTAATACTTTCCGAAAGCTGGCTTTCAATTTAACATATTCAATTGTAGAGCCCACATTATAGCGAATTCGAAGAAAATTAGCTTGAGATATAGCTGGCCATGGAGTCTCTTGGCGGCACAAGGATAGAGTGTGAGAACTATTGTCTTGATTTAGATAAATTGTAAATGTAGGATTGTTGCAAGTTAACTTTGCAATGCATAGTAGGAAAGATAATAAAACTTTACTTTCATCATCTACTAAAATAATGTAATTAATTTCTTCATTGCGTTGCAAAACATCAGGGGTTTCAATAATTCCATAGTCTTGATCTATAAAAGTAATTACTTTTTTGTATTTTTTAACTGAAAGAAATTGATATTTAATTATTAGTTATATCTCGATTGATATGTATTGAAATTATCGATTCTTGGACATTTTGTATGAGCATAGTCTTTCAGTTTATATCAAAACTTCATGAGATAAAGGAATAGAGCTGTAAATTTGAAATATAGTTTTAATGACATACCGCAATTGCATTGACCATTTTCATCTAGACAATGGTATGGATTTTGACATTGGCCTTGTTTGTCTATACATTGGCCAGCTATGCAAGAAAAATTTCCTCGCAAGCATTTAGGATAATCTATGAAAGTTATTGAAATAAAATGAAATGATTACGGTATTGAGGTTAAGCAAGATCTTGCAAAATTGAAATCTAGCGTTACTTTCGAGTGTATATGTTGAAAATACATGAGTTAAAAGTATTGTCTTACAACAATATATTTCATCAGAATGATCGCTGCAGTCGAAAACGCCATCACATACTCTATTTGCTTCAATGATATCGCCGTCAGGGCAGGTAATATAGCGATAGTTAGTACAATCTAAAATTAGAAAAGATATGATTATTAAAGCAAGGCGAATTCCTACAAGATTGTTGCATTATTTAAATTGAACATAATTGTCGTACTTTCTTGTTTAGCTTGATTAATTTCGGCTCGAAATCCTTGTAAATTAATAATATAGTCCGAGAAAAAGTAAATCAAGAGGCTATTTTTACTTGATCGAATCATTGGCATGAGTAGTTGGCCACAAAATACCCCTAATTGGTATTCCTTTAACGCTTGATGACCATCATATATTGCCACGTAATCGAAACTGCAACCTGAACCTTTCGATTCTTGTTCCAACTGAAAGTTTGTAAAGTTAATAATAACGTGATCGTACGAAAGATCTGCCGAAATATTATAGACGCAAAACTTTCGGTTTGGATAGTTGTGAGGAAAATTAGGTGAAGTAATGATACCCTGGCCGGTTGTACTGTTATGGCAAGGAACTAGGTGCAAGAAAATTTTTATTAACTTGAAATTCAGTCCTATTTGGATATCCAGTAACTCTACTGCAATCAACAGATACATCAAGCTTTCTTAGCATTAGCGCTATATAGAGACATAATATTATCAATTGAACTTACTAATTCCGTCATAAAGAATTTCAAATCCTATATCTGATATAACATAGTTCGATTCAAAAACCACTCGAACCTTGGCTTGTAGATCGAATAAATATGAACTAGGAGAGCTACTTTGAGTAAATACCAATCGAGTGCTGTAATTTTTGTAACCACTTTCGGCTGTTGCTGTCATGATATATAATTTGTCATAAGGCCCTGTTAGATTATAAGACCTAAATTTAATTCTAGTTTGGTATGCGTTGCTATTAATCTTGATATCATATTGACATCGAAAGATTTGAGGATATGAACGATTGCTGAAGGAATGGAAGGAAATTATTCCAGACAATGTTGACAAGCTGTGCTGACAAGACGGAGCTAAATAATAGTAAGTCATAAAACTAGGTTAGTTACTTGGAAGTTAATTCCCTGCCGCCTTATTTTACGGATAGAACTATTTCTGAACGTAAATAAGATGAGATATCCGGTAATTATTTGTTAAATAATTGAAGAAGAAATTTTACATTAATGTTTTTACGTAAGAATTGATTCATAATTCTTTCAAAAAGATAATTATAACGCTAGTTTTTGTAAACTTCAACTTATTTCATGTAAAGAAATTATTTTATGTATAAGCTAAGGAAGTATCTACTACTATAGTTATCTAAGGAAATTAACTTGACGATCATTAGATTAAGTAAATTTGAAATGCATCGGCTTACTACTTTTAAACTACTTCCCAGAAAAGCCGCTCTTTACTTTCATCTTACCTACACTAAAATGAACTTTTAGGCAACGCCTCATAAATGCTTTCAAACCTGAAACTACTGTACTTTATTCTTAATACAATCTGCGTCAAAACTAACAGTTAACACCGATAAGTTTATATGCAGGCCCGATTTGGATAGTAATTTAATAGTTGATATTTTTGTAAGATAAGCAAGTATTCTCGGTAATATTTCATCTTTTTTATTGTAAGATCTAAACTTAATTTCGTTCTAAGTAATTGACATTTTTAGAAGCAAAATAGGCAATCAATCCAGACAGCATTCCTTATTTACTATTGAATTAGGAAATAACACTTACGGCAATTTGCTTCATCGGACCAGTCGGGACAGTTATAAGCGTGATTACATTTCTCTGATAGCGGAATACACGGCCCTTGAAGGCATTTAAATTGGTACTTGGAGCATTTAGATTCTACCAGTTTAGATGATATGATTGCATATTGAATATCAATAAATTTTACTTTTAATAAATCTTCTTTCGTGATAATATCGCTCTATAACGAGTTTTTCATAGATCATAAAGTAATTTAGTGTTTTTCTTATTTTGTCACCTACCAGTTCGCGATAACATGGTATAGGTTGCTCGAAAACCTTTGGCTTCAATCTTACCCCCATAAAAGGTAACTTTTGTAATTCCATAAGACAAAATAGGCTTAAATAATCGTGTTCCACAAAAATTTAACAACTTATTGCCATTGCCATCCGTAATGGAAAGAAAACTAGACAAATCTGGGCAGAAACTAAAGTCAACTATCTGGAAATTAAGAATAACTTTTTTTCGTTCTGGCACAGCGATAGTATAGGTACAAAATGAATCTACAGGGTAATTGGAAGGATAGTTGGGCGTTGAAAAATTTCCATTTGCAGCGGTTAGGTAGCGGTTGCAACTCTTTGGATTGACTAACAGATTCAGTAAAATAGTGAAATATTCAGTTATTAGTCTGATATTTCATTGGAGGTATGGATTGTCATAAGCGATTTCACAATATTATAGACACATTCTTTATAAATTTTAATCTATTATAGTGACTTATTTTAGCATTTTATACGATTCTAAGTCTGCGACTTCTAAATAGCTGTAAGAAACATAGATGGAATATGTCAATATTTCTGTTATTCCTCTTTACAAAGTCCCTTCTCTAACAGCTTTATACAAACAAATAGTATAGATTTCATAATATAATCGCTTCGATAGATGAACGAAACTAAATATTTTCAGGCGAAAATTTTGACAATAATTGAGGTAACTGATGGATAAATAGGATAGTACGATAAGCAATAATATATTGATAGTAACCACGGTATTTGGAAGTGTTGCAGTGTTAAATACTGTATTACAGTAGAAATAACTATGTTCGGATAATTCTGTTAGACTATCCTTATTTAGTTAACTTCTAATTTGGATACACTGTGTTTTAATATAGCACTGACTTTTTATGACAGTGACACTTATACACATACTGAAATTAATAGTTATAATAGGGAATGCAAATCATCTACTTACAGTTCGAATCATTGTGATTGTAATTTACTTATGGTAGATTGTAAATTATCATGGAAATGTTCCGTGATAGGACATATCGTAATCTGACTATTCTGTATTAGTCATTACATGTCTATGTTCGTAAATACTGTTGTCTGCATTAAGGGAGCAGTAGCTAAAATTAATATCTAACTCAGTAAATGATTCTAATGTTAATTGTATTAACTATGACTCATGAACTATTGAGGAGTAGTATATAAATGCAGTATATCGTGAAATAAAGTGGATTCTTAAACTTAGTGTTTAACGTAAAATACGAGGCGCTTAAGTCTTTGTGTAATCTGCTAGTAGAGCAAAAGTGTTTGTGATAGTGCAGATATCGTTCCTTGATAAGTGGTTCAAGAAATTGACTTATTGATCGTATATTGCGTTATCTTGTTGCAAAGCTGTTTTGTGACAGGAAGTAAATCTCTTGAAATTTAAAAGTACGCTGCTTAGTCAATAGCTTTGAGCAACACTTTTACATCATTAATCTGTAGCTGGAACAGAAATTTCTAGTGCGATGGCTTGCTCAAGAAAGTTAATATACTATCGACTCAGTTTTCTATTTAGCAAATGGAGAGATGCTTAAAATGATCGCATTAGACAATTATGATGATAATTAGCGAAAATGCGTTGCATGAATAGACAAATGTGCTAATTAAGTATTCAATTACTAATTGAAGAAAAATCATCACTATTGATACTACTAGACAGATGCAATCATTCCTAATCGAGTTCATTCAATCTGATCTTTAATTAGCAAATTGGTTATTAACTGGGATTTTATGTAAAGATGGGGTAAAATAGCTGCTTCATCGAAGATGATGGAAAAATTTAAAGATTTTCATCGACTTGGTGCAGTAATGATTAATTCAGGATGAGCTAATCTTAACCCTAACAACGATAGCGTTATCAATGTTAGGCATAAACTGCACAAAATGGTGTAATGAAGGTTAATTTTTAGAAGTTTTCTTCAAGTTCTTGTATTTTTTAATTATTCTAGCTTAGTTTTTGAATCGTGATAAGTATCCTAGCTTTAAAAATATGACTTGTTTGGTTGATTATAATAGTCGATTATTACTTAGTATCTTGGTATACGTAAATCTGACTACTTTATTTGGGTTAGAAGTTCAGATAATCCGTAGCTTAATTTTTGTTAATAATCAGATATTATGATTTTTTGATTCAAGCGATATATTTAGTTGATAGAATTTATGTGTGCTAATTTTGATAATTAATTACTGAAGAAGTTAATGATACTTTGTAATTTCATAAGGTATGAACCCCAAAAATTTGATCTGGGATTGTTATTTTGTCTTAGTGTATGCTGTAGAAATGTACAGTTTCAAACTAAACTATAGTTAGTATTAATTTAGTAGTTTCCGGGAGTCTAGGGTATAATTTATCTTATCATATGTATTTGAATGCTAGTTTAATTTGGAGTACTTTAGAATGATAGTTGGATAGTCTAATACCACCGACTGTTCTGCGTAGCATATATAAGGTGGCGTAGTTCGGTAATTTAGTGCAGTTGAAGTTAGAGAAGACAAGAAAAGTCTAGGATAATCGTGAGTTATCACATTGATTCATAGTTTGGTTGGTTGGGCAGTAGTTATGCCCGTGTTTTGTTATTCATTTAAGAAGTTTTGCTTAGATATTTGTTAAAGATATAATAAACTGGTGTTTTTCCCCTAATTTTATTTTGTTTGGACTTCAATTGTTGATAGTTTAATTTAATTTAGTAAAATTTTATTTTTTATTTTGATATAGATTATCAGCGAAGAAACCCAGCAGTATGTAATTTCTTATACAAATTAGAATTAGTGGTATAGCGAAATTTAGTTTTTGTTGTTTATGCCTGCTAACAAAATATGAAGGCATGAACTACTACTGTGCAGTAGACTCAGGAGATTACTACTGAAATAATATTAAAATTTCTAACGGGTTTGACACTGCTGCTTACCACGAAAGTTTGTAGTAGATTTAATTCATATATATAGTACTGGTTATTAAATGTGAATTCTTAATTTTAATAAAATCAGTTGCAACTTACGGCAATTTTGATTGTTGACTGTATCCCAGCAATCAACCTTGTTTTCGCACTTTTGGAAAATATCGATACATCGACCCAGGAAACATGTAAAAGTTCCAGTATGGCATGAAGGATATCCTTACGTTGATAAAAATGTGTAGTAGATAAATAATAGGCCGAAATTTAGCTAGCTTAGTATCTAATTTGACGAAAGCACCCGCTTCGATAAGAGGTCAATATAGTGTACTAATGGTCAATTATAAGTGAAAAACAACATCAAGATTGATCTTTAATGATAGTTATTCGAGAAAAGGATTGAAGAGAAGATCAATACGATTAAAATTATCCAATTTTGTAGTTTTTCACTACCTTCGCAGTAGCACCTGCTCATTTGCCATTATTACGGAATAGAGGAATTAAAATGATGTCAGTATTATAGAATGGGTAAACTGATATATTAATGAAGAATTAAAAGCAAGATAATAAAAATTTAAACTGGCAGGAAATAAGCGTACAAAGTTTTGCTTGAGAATTCTTAAAGACAATTTTCTACAGAATGCTGTCACGGTGCTAACTCACCGTACCAAAATAGTACATGCTATGCGGCTATAATGATATTATAAGCCGAGGAGATTATGTAGCCAGATATAGATTGTAGACGGTACGATTTAAATTGTGATATGTTAAAGGTCATTTATATCTATAGTTGATAGTTGGATTAGTAGTATTCTAAGAGGTGTGTAAAAGCTTGTAGATAAAATCTATTTAAACAATTGGACAAATTAATAAAAGTTAGTTCTTAGTTCCTAAGGTTAAAAGTATAACGGAAATCGAAGGCGTACGAATTATTGCGAGATCGTAGATTCGATTACAACGTTATCTTGTCACGCGGGAGTTTGTGACAAATGCTACATGCAAAACCCATATCTGATGAAGGAAATATAATCCCTGAGTCTAATAAATCTGGAGAATATGGAAGAACTCTTGTCAAATTTTGATTGCAGTAGCCATTTTAAAGTAACAGTTAAAATAATAATAATATTGCTTAAATCAATTACTGTTCGAATCGATGCAGGATTATTAAAATTTCCCGAAATTTGGATAATGATATAAACGTAGAAATATTTATGTGATGGCTGTAATTTATTTGGTCAATATAAAATGCTTCTCGCAACGGCTGATTAAATATATTTAGTGTTATAAAATGCGATGTAAATAAAAAGAATTAGAAATAATATTGTTGATCTACAGAATTATCAATAACACCAAATTTTGATTAAAAACCAGCAGAGTCCCCTACTGAGCTGATAATATCTACTATTCGGATCGAATCCATTTACGTTTCAACATAATACGGGTGATGCTTTAAACTCGAATAAATTTAGGACTTAGGGCAAGTTATGGCTTAAAATATCAGAGAATTTAAATTATTTAACATAGCAGTTTGTTGAATTTGTTATTCACATAATATTGGAATAAACATACCACAGTACTCTTCGTCTGATCCATCGTAACAATCATTGTAACCATCACAACGTAGGGCTCTGCTTATACACTGACCACTTTGACATTTTATTTCAGTAAATTGGTTACATTTCGGATAGACTAGAATTAAGAATTTGATATTAGCTACAATAAACGTGATTTTATCTAGTAATATTGAATATTGATACTGTCAATTATTGTTGGATATCTGAAAAGAAGGCGACTTATAATTAATTTAGCAGGCTAAAAGCGTTAAGTTTATTCTTGTCAATATAAAAAATTGAAGCTTTACTTTTCATCAAAATATTTTTAAACTTATGGTCAATGTTCTTACTACAATTTTGCTCATCAGACATATCTTCGCAATTATACTGAAAATTGCACCAGTTATGACTGGGAATGCAGAGTCCATTATTACATTTAAATTGGGATGGTTGGCATTGATCTGGTACTATCCAGGTTGTAAATTAATAAGAAAATCAAATAAGTATCATATGCATATTCTATGATTAGAAAGCCGCTATTTCATTATGAGAATCGCAAACATCACTGTGCCTATAAAATCCAAAGAGTGATCTAGTATTATGAAAAGGATCTAAGTATTCTAGTATCATTAATTTTTAAAAGCAATATAATCCTTGCTTGAAGTAACTACTTTAGGTCGAGATTTACTTATCCATGGTGTCATCCATACTTATTTGATTTGCCGAAATGAATGTTAAAATTACGGTATTAAAGTAATCTATGTCTCCGTATGATCAGTTAGCTCCTCTTCCTGTAGATTCTACTGATTGAATTAAAGCTTAAACATTTTATTGATTATAGAAAGGAAAATCGATCTTACGATAGTAAGCATTTGCTTATACTACCTATGCTACAAATTGTACGATAGTCAATACAGAGAGAAGCACTACCTATTAAAATACGAGTAGCCTCTGACCGAATTATTTCGGTATCATTTGAATCTAATTTCTGAGTTGATTAACTATTTATTCAACCAAAGTCTGGTAGATTTACTCTTAAAATATGTCCTGCGATAAACAGCCATTAAAATGAAAGTAGGTATATATTTAGTCCTTATTAATTATCAGCATTACATTTATCAACTCTTATACAGTAATACGAATTCTTTCTTACTGATTTCAGAAGTAATATATTCTAAAATCTATTTTACTTAAGCCAATTCAACATTTACTAGTCCAAGATAAAAATATCTACGTGCTGCTTATTTGGCTGATTATAGAATTAGAACATTATGACAGGAAAAGTCTTACCACAGCCGGCGGCCCCTATCAAAGTAGTCTTATTGCACTGAATAGCTGGATTGCAATATTGAGATGTAGCAGTACATTGGCCTTCATAGCATTGAGCATTTTCTCGATTGCACAGGACTTCTCCTATCAACATCCATAAATCGGCCTTTAAACGTTCGAATATCAATTTATATTTATAAAATGTTTGCTAGATCAGGTTGTTGTATCAAATAAATCAAAAAATGAGCTGATGTAATATGTTTTCCATCTAAGAAGGGTTGGAAAACATTATCAGAAGAAGTTGCAATATGTTTTCAAGATCTATTGGAAATTAAAAGTAATTAGTTGCTCGAAATATCAGTTTTTCTAGGTTACCGATAAAAATAAAGACATGACTGGCTCTATCTAAGCTGATATCTCTCTTTATGAAATTATTTAACGACTACAAGAAAAAAAATCGAAAAAGCACACAATTCTTAATGTATGAATAAAAGTGAAAGACATCACTGCTATTATCCAAGCAGGTAATACTCTTTTTTTGAATTGCTTAATGACTGCAAGAAAACATTGCCTATCGACAAAGCATACAATTCTTCAATCTGAATAAGAAATTTACCTAAATTTTCTACATTATATCGTTTTAAGCAAGATTTTCAATCATCAAAGAATTGAGTAACTAAATTCCTTTTCTAGTTTATCTACGCGTTACCAATGATGCGATTATTTACGGTAATCTACAACATTAGACTTATATTTATTTTTGACACAGTTAGCTACAAACCATGAAGGTCTATTACAGTTTCTATACAAGTCCTTAAAAATATTTTCATGTGTAATAAATATCTTACCTTGATTTTGAGTTCTCACAACTTGATATTGGAGTAGTATCAGCCACGAAATGAAAAATGACACCATAATTTTATAGCGACAATGAAATAGTGCTGGATAAAACGGCATTTAAGTACGCGAATTACTTTAACAAAAATTTGCTTAAAGTTCTTATACAAATATCATGTAGAATTTCAATAATATATGCAATTTTAATCACTTTAACAATTTAAAGCGATATATAAACTCTGTTGACACTTTCGCAATGAAAACGAAGTTTAATCGGATCGTAAGCCAGCCATAGGGGAAATAGAACTTTCAGAATTATTTCCTTTAGAAAGGGAGTTTCAAAAATTGAATAGTGATGCAAGTTTTTATACAAAGAAAAGAAACAAAACCATTGACGTAGCCAGGCTAATAGCTGGTTTTATTTGGTCTTATAAAAGCCTACAAGGTCATTGGTAATAGTTTTTGTTTCATAAAGTATAAATTGCTCTATTTTGGCTAACAGACTCTATACTCAGACAGTAGTCATTTAAGTAATGGTAATTACTAAATTACCAATCAAAATGAAAAGTGAGTTACCTATATCGCTGAGAATAGAAAGTTATCAAATTAAAATCATTCAATGAGACGACAATAACATCATTAATTAATTTCCAAATCAAAGTCAACTTTTAATTCCATAGCAGCCAATAAGTAAACTGTTACTAGCAATCCATGTCAGTATAAGATAATAGGATTAAAAGTACAACAATAAGCTTGTTGATAAAAGCCTAGACATCAACAAATTTTGACTATCGCAATGGATATTTTAGAATAGTAAAATGATAAATGTGATAACCTGATTTTATTACATAGCGTTGAGTAGTGAAGAAACATGGCCTAGAGGATATACATTGATTTGAAATTTCAATTAGGTTATTTAGTTAATGACGCCTACTAGAAACTAGCAGATCAAAATATTCAAACTTTTAGCATTTAAATTACACTGATATGTACCTATGAGAGTAAGTATACAAAATTTAAATTTATTCCGACAGCATAATTGAAAGGGAAATGAATAGAATATTTATCATTTGTTAGCAAGAATGAATTGGAAGTAAATTTATCAAATTTTTTCCTTTAGTTATCAATTATCGATGCTTGAATAGGAAATTCCCGTATTTTGAAAATATTAATAGGCGGATTCTGGGATGATTTTATTTCCTCTTCAAAATTTTATTCTATAAAGCACTGAACCACATTAAAAGCCGTACTAATAAAAAGGATTAATAAATTAGAACTTTATCAATTACCTAAGAATTTTCTTGGTCGTTTACTTGATAGAGTTAATATCAGAGGGTTTTGCTTCTTTATTGAATTTACACCTGCACATTTCTATTAGATAAGTGCCTTATTCTATGTTTGTCATAACCCTCACTTGTGGCAAAGGAAAGTAAAGAACTCTAGTGTAGTTACTTAAAACTTGGGCTATTTCTCCCAGTACTTTCAGTTTCTATGAGAGAAGTATTTGAGAACTCGATTTCTCGGCTGATCTCCACAGACAACTGACTAATTATTACACTATTCTTCACGATATGAGTCTTACCGTTTCTTGAGCAATTACTTACTTTATTCTACAAACACACGCGCTTAAATAGGTTTCTACAGTGAATTCCAATATTAACGAGTGAGAATTCATGCTTTATAAGTTACATTAATTAGTATAATACCATTACTAAATATACACGTCGATATTCTCAGACTTAGATAGCTACAAGCTATCAGGTATTAAGACGCTTAACCTTCGTCCATATACAGCTCAATTTTTAGAGATTAACATACCTTATAAACCTACAGTAAATTAACTGC